GTGTCGGCCGGGGCAGCGGCTGCATGCCAGACGCACACCCGCGCTCCGTCGAACCACCGCCGCCACCACCACCACCACCACCACCACCTTCACAATCACCAAGGCACACACCCCACCCACCTCTGGGTAGTCCCCAAACTGGTAGTGGAAGCGCTTCCAGGCGCCCTCATCGGGGTAGGCGATGGTGATGTTGGAGGCGTCGGGCAGCTGCCGCAGCCGCTCCCTGCAGCCGCGCGGGCAGGCAGGCAGGCAGGCGGGCAGGCAGGGGCGTGGGGGCAGGAAGGAAGCAGGTGAGCTGGCAGCCCGCGGGCGCGGCGCGGGGGCGGGGGCGGGCGTTGCAGAGCACGCAGCAAAGGCCTGTAGCTGTGGCCGCCCATTCTTCGTCGCGCCGGCCACAAAACCCCTCCTGGGCAGGCCCGGCAGGACGTACGCAGTGCCCGAGGCTGGGGCGGCACAGGCGCGCCCACCTGAGCAGCGGGATGCCCGACTCGAACAGCGGCAGCACCTGGTCTCCAAAGTAGAAGCGCTCCTGCAGGGCGTGGATGTCGAAGATCACCACGCTGGCTGCGAGTGGGAGGGGGTGTGGGGAGGGGGAGGGAGAGGGGTAAGGGAGAGGGCGCAGCACCCGGGCAGGGCAGGGGCGGGTCACGGGAGGGCCTTGAGCGGGACAGGGAGGGCCAGGGGCATATGGGCACGAGGCTCGGCGCGGGATCAGCGGCAACGGGGACGCAACCGCCGCGTTGCTCCCAGGCGCCATGCGCCATGGCCAGAGTGCGGCGTGAGGCAGGACAAATTTAAGAAAGCGCGCACCGGGGCCGCCCCTCGCCAGCGGGATGTTGGAGATGATGCGGGCCAGGGTGAAGGCGGTGGCCACGTCGCCCTCAGCCTCCACGCGCTCCGCTGCACGAGGGCGGGCGGGGCAGGAGCGGCGGCGCGGTTGGCACGGCGCCGGCGCATGCGTAACGCATGCACGCGTGCGTGCGTGGACTGGCGCCTGGCTGGGCGCGCCAGCGCTCGCTGCAGTGCACGCCTGCCGTCCCTCCTTGCCGGCAGTGCCAGCACCGCGCCCGGCGGCTCTGCCACCGCGCCCGGCAGCCGCGCGGCAGGCGCCGCGCACCTGTGCCTGTGGGGAAGTAGGGCAGGACGAGGGTGAAAGAGCCCACGAAGAGGCGGGGCAGCTGGTAGATGATGGAGATCTGCTCAAAGATGACCCCCGGGGTGTGGAAGGAGGCCAGGAAGGCGACGTGGCGGTTGCGGATGCGGATCGCGTCCTTGACAAACAGGTTGGGGAAGCCGTCGGCAAAGCGCCTGCGGGGCCGCGGGGCGGAGGCGGGGGGCGGGGAGAGGCAGGCGCGGGGCGCTCAGCTGGCTGCGGCCGCGGCCGCCAAACGGCGCTTTGGCTGCGCCTTCCGGCAGTACCCTTTCCTCGGCGCCCCGCCTCCTCTGCTGCTCTCCGCTGCTCTCGGCACGTGTCCACTCCCCCAGACTGCCGCCTCCGCCGCTCGCCCCTGCGGCTGCGCCCCTGGCAGGCTGCCGCTGCTGCGTCCCTTGCGCCGCCACGGCGCAGCTGCAGCTGCCCGGGCCTGAGCTCTGCTGCTCACTTCCAGTTGATCTCAGCCAGCTCCACCGTGCCCTCGCTGCACTCCATGATGCGCCGCGCCAGCTGCTCGCAGTCTGGGTAGTAGAACAGCAGGCAGTCCTTCTTTAAATACTCCGGAACCTGCAGGGGGGAGGGGGCGTGGGGGCGGCGCCGTGCTCTGTGCACGAGGCGAACCGTGTGCAAGGGTGGCGCCGCGGCGGGTAGGGCAAGGGCTGGAACGTGGGTTGGGAGGCGGTGGAGGGCGGGAGGGCAATCGAGAGGGCTGCACCCAGCTGGGCCGCGGCGCAATGCTGCCAGGCACGCGCTGCATGGGCCTGCACGGCCAGCACAACCAGGTGCGAGCAGCCAGGGCACGCAGCACGGCTCTTGTGCCCTGTTGCTGCTGCTGCCGGCGGCGTCCCGGCGCCGCCCAGCCGCCGACCCCACCTTGGTCAGCTCCACGTTGGGCGCCTGAATCCGATAGTCGCTCGTCTCCCCGCCCATGGCAGCGGGTTTGAGCAGCACATGGTTGCTCATGCTCGTGCCCGCGCTCTGCAGCTCCGCGATGGCGCGCAGGGGGTGCTGGCACAGCTGGGAACTACGGTAGCCCGCCACTGGGGACGCCGGGCGGCTCCTGCTCAGCGAACTGGCTTGGGCCGGACCTGCGGGCACCGCGGTCATATGCTGCGCGGCTGCGCCGTGCCGGGGTGCTGCGATCCGAGACGCGAGATTGGTGCGCATGCCCCATACCGCCCCTGTTGAACGTTTCGCAACCAGTACTGCTGTCCTGCCCATCCCATTGCCCCGCCAAGCCCATCGGGCCCGTCACCGTGGCCCCCCATTGATTGGGAGAGCCAGAGCATTGGGGTGATCGCCTGCGGGGACTGGCGGCATCGGGCCAGTCTCAGAGCAGCACTTGGCCGGCGCGGGCTATCCTTTAGTGGCACCCTCGATAGCCGCCCTTGATTCCGGCACCCACCAGCGTGCTGCCCACCACCTTACACCAAGTGCGCAACCACCTTTGGCGCTGAACGGGCTGCCCGCTGCCCTGGAGCAGCAGGAACGGGCCAGGGCGTCGCTGCAGAGTTCTCAGCGGAGCGCGGTCGCGCCGGTGACCAGCGGCGGCCCATGGGAGCCGTGGAGGCGGTGGCGGCAGCCGCCAACGGGCAGCACGATAACCCCGCGGTGCGTGGCGTACGATACTTGTGCAGCTCCTCTCATCACTGCAGGGTCCATCCTTGTGGCTTCTTGTTCGCCAGGCCTTGCCCAGCTGCTGCTGCACACGCTGCCCCAGCGCCGGCCCACCGCTGCTCGCCGCCCAGCTAGTTTTACGCCAGCCACTGAGCTGCCTCGCCTGTTTGTTGGTGCAGGAAGACGGCAAGGAGGGCGACAGCAAGGAGCGGCGCACCCCGGCGGCCTGGGCCTACATCCGCTCGCTGGCCTGGGTGCGCCCCATCCTCATCCTAGCGGTGCTCTACATCTGTGCCCTCTCCGTCATCCTAGCGCTCTTTTACCAACTGCCCAGCCTCAGCCAGCTAGCAGGCACGTGGGCAGACAGGGGCAGGGCCGCACTCGGGGATGGATCGGTGGCAACAGCAGCATGACAGCAATGCCGGCAGGGCCATTCAGGCCATCTGCCGCTGCTCAAGGCTCTGCGTCTGCTGCTGTGCAACACCCAACGGTCCTGTTCCCTGCTGCTATATCACCGCCTGCAGAGAAGCAGCAGGGCGCAAATGCCGAGGGCGAGCCGGAGCAGCTGCGCCTGGCGGTACCGCACAGCTTTGACGAGCTGCGCAGCGTGCGCCACACGCTGGAGCTGTACCGCAGGAACTATGCGGTACACGTCGCCGCCCTGCTCTGCACCACGCACCTCTTTCTGCAGGTGGGCGGGCTGGTGTGTGTGTGCGCCGGCTCGATGGCCAGTTGGCCAGCTGCCTGCCTGGGGTTGTGAAGGCCAGCTGGGGGATTGTGCAGGCACCGCTGTTTCCAGTCTCATGCTTACTCTGTCTGTGCTAACTGTGGCCTGTCTCCGCCTGTCCTTGCCCGCAGTCCTTCATGATCCCGGGATCCATCCTGATTAACGTTTTGGCCGGCAGCATGTACTCGCTGCCAGGTGGGCGTTCGTGACCTGCCCGCTGCGCACGACCTGCCAGCTGGCAAGCCTGTGTCTTCATTTCTAGCGGGCGGTTAGGCTGCGGCTGCTGAGTGCTGCCTGCACTCACGATTCGCACGCTGTGGTGTTGACACCCATCCTTTCTCTCTCTGGCCGCAGCGGGTACCGCGTTTGCGGCGGCGGCAGACGGCGGCGGCGCCAGCATCAACTACTGGCTGTCCCGCTGGCTGCTGCGGGATGTGGTGGCGGGCCTGTTCCCGTCCCGGGTGCAGGCGTTTGCAACAGAGGTGAGGGTCTCTGTGGCGGGGGGCTGCAGTGCATGTTGCATTGAACCGTGTGCACGCGCGTGTGTGTGTGGTGGGTCGGGGTGTGGGTGCTGGCATTCTTTGCTTGCGCTTTGTGGATCGGCCAGCATGCATTGCGACCGCGCTCATCGCATGGTGCACACACGCGTCTGAGCAGCACATGTGGCCCGTGTGCGGGGTCTGTGTGTGCGCAGATGAAGCGGCACCAGACGAACCTGCTGAACTACAACCTGTTCATCCGCTCAGCACCCATCTTCCCCAGGTCGGCCGGCGCTGGCGTGCCGCTGTGCGCGCTGCCCGCCGCTGCCGTTTGCGCCGACCTGCTGCCGGCATGTGGGTGCCGCTGGATCCCTGCGCTGGCTGCCCCTTTTGGTGCATAGCCGGTGCTGGGGCTGGCTTGGCATGTGCTCACCTTGCCGACGTGCTCACCCCACCCCCCAACCCCACCCCGCTGCCTGCCTGCAGCTGGGTGGTCAATCTGGTGAGCCCCATAGTGGGTGTGCCCTTCCCCATCTTCCTCACCGCGCTGCTGGTGGGCCACCTGCCCATCAACTTCATCAGCGTCAAGGCGAGGCTCCCAGCCGCCGCGCTCCGCTGCCTGTGCGCCCGCGTCGCTTGCCTGCGCGGTGCCAGTGCTGCCTCGGCCGCCTGGTTCAGGCACACTCTGCTCTGTCTTGCTGCTGCCGGCTGGCCTCCTACCCACTTTACCTACTTACCCAGCCTCGGCGCCTTCCCCCACGTCCCCACCTCGTCCCCTGGAGCAGGCGGGGCACAACCTGGCCACCATGCAGTCGGTGGCAGACATGTACAGCGCCAGGAATGTGCTGTTCCTGCTGGTGGTGGGCACGCTGGCGCTGGTCCCAGTGCTGCTGCGCCGCCTGCGCCGCACCGACCGCCAGGCGCGCCACCGCCACGTCGTGTCCCTGCTGCCCATCATCGCCGCGCCGCCCAGCGGCGTGGTGGCGCCCGCCGGCGCCGCCGCCAAGCGCGCGCCCGCCGGCGCCGCCGCGCTGCTGTCGCTGTCGCCGGGCCAGAAGCGGCTCGACGAGCAGCATGTGCAGTAGGGTTGGTTATGCAGCCACTGCCGGCTGCTGCCACTGCCGGCTGCTGCCTCGTTGTGGTTTTTGTTCAGAGGTGCTGAGAAGCGCGCCAGGCACTGGCTGCCCTGCATCGGCGGCCTGGCGCTCGTCCCTGACCTGCGAGGTAGCTCTGGCATGTTGTTATCTGGTATGCCTCAATGCAATCTGTTGTTGTTCTTCTCTCGCGGTTCGCGCTGCACTTCGTGGCTGCCGCCCCAGTTTTGACGCTCCCCCTTTTGCTCCTCCTCCCTTTCAGCAGCAGCTCATCTACCCCTATTACCAATGTACACGTTTCTCGATGCAACTTTTGCAATCCAGCGGATTGGCACACGATGCGCAACCCGCCGTCCCGCCGCAGCGGCTGTCCTGCTGCAGCAGGCGCAGCAGCTGTCGCGCCTCCGAATCCCGATCGCCCCCCCGGGATGCGTTACCTGCATTCCACGGACGTAGGATCACTGCACCGCAGGCTCCGGAAGTTGGCCTGGTTGTAGGCTCGTAGGAGGAACCCTCTCGCTCGGCCATGGTGCTCGCAATAGCAGCTGCACCCAGGCTCCTAAGCTGCGGCCAAGCAAGGAGTGAACGGCATGTGGAAAGCCGGGCCACGGCACGGCGGCCAGTGACGGCCGCGGCGGGGCGGGCGGCAGACGCTGCCGCCTGTGCCGAACCCGCTGCGCCGCCGGCCATGGGCCGGCGCCAGGTGCTGGGCACGGCTGCAGCAGCCACGCTGGCTGGCCTGGCCGGAGGCAGCGGCATTGTGGCATCAAGCGGCGTGGCGGCGCCTCCCGCGGCCGAGGCGCTGGAGCTTGCGCCGCTGGGGCGTGTGGAGAGAGTCGGCGGCGACAAGCTGGTGGGGCTGAGCCCAGAGGAGGTCAAGGCAAGCCCTGCTGGGGCTGATGCAGGCGGCGGCACCCACTCGCACGCTTGCCTTCTGCTCGGTGCTCGCTTGTGGTGGCGCGGCCCCGCCGGCGGGCTGCCGCCTGCGGCCTGCTGCTGCCGCCCTGCGGTGTCAGCGTGTCGGCGAGGCCCCCCGCTGCCGCTGTTTCCTGCAGGACATCCTGGCGCGCAACCTCAGGGAGGGGCAGTACTTTGTGACGGGAGACCTCACACCCGAGATCTTTGCAGGTGAGGCGGGCAGTGCACTGGCAGGAGGCAGTGGTGCAGGCTGCTGCCTCAACTGTTTCAAGATTTGTAGTCATAACAACAGGGCAGCAATAAGATCAGGGCTGCACCCGCACCCTGTGGTTTAGCTGTAGAGAGGCATGAGGTCGCTGGCTGCCAAGCGCTGCTTTCCTGCCCCTCCCCTGTCGCAGACGACTGCCGGTTCAAGGACCCCACCAACGAGACCGCAGGGCTGAGCCGCTACATGAAGGTGGGTGGGTGGTGCGGCGGCTGCTCGATGGCACACTGTACGCCATGCTGCGGCCGACTGCCCAGAGAGCCAGCTGCCGCTGCTGCCGCCCGCTTCCTACCGCCTGCCCCCCGCCCGCCTCTTATGAACCCCGCGCCTGCCTCCCTGCCTCTCCCATGTGCCTGCAGGCGCTGACCCTGCTGTTTGATGCCTCCTACTCTGCCGTGCAACTGGTGGGCATCAGCGTGACTAGCCCCACCACCATCGAGGCCGACTGGAAGATGGGCGGCTACCTGCGCTTCCCCTGGCACCCGCGGGTGGAGCCATTCCTGGGTGGGCGGCGGGACCTGCCGGGCCCTTTCCCTGGCCGCCGGTGCCGAGCGCGTGGCTGGCTGGATGCCTTGTCTGCGTGGCGCTGGCCATCACTCACACCTTCACGTTTGCCTTGCCCCTGCTGCAGGCCACACTGTGTACCACCTGAACGAGCAGGGGCTGATCGCGCTGCAGGACCAGACCTGGTCCATCACCGGCACCACTGCGCTTGTCGAGAGCTTCACCCCCACCGGCGGGGTCAGCACCGACATCAAGCAGAGCATGAGCGCGTGAGGGCGTCTGTTTGGCAGCCTCCTCTGAGATGAAAGAGGGAATGAGCGCATGTGGGCGTGCTGGCGGCCTTGTCCGGCAATTTTGAACTTCTGGCACTTGAGGTCTACTAGTGAACGCATTCTTTTCTTGTGATCCACCTGAGTGCTGGAAGCCAGCACCCATGATGAAATTGCTGCGCATGTGAGGACGCGTGTTGCATGTTGCATGTTGCGTGTTGAGTTGACCGCCGCGGTGCCTAGGTGGCGGCGGCAGCGCATGCAGCACCGCATGCATGCAGCACCCATCGCTGCAGCCACTGAGCGTCATCGCCCATCGAGCTACAGCCGACTTGATGGAGGAGCAGATAGCGGCCATCGAGTTGCGGGGGGTGCCGGCGTCAACCACGTTCGATGACCTGCGGGCGATAATCGAAGTGCAGGCGGTATGCATCGTGATGGAAGGCTCCGCCTCCAATCAGGCCACCGCGCTTGCGCTGCTGGGCTCGGCAGAGGAAGCAGCCGCGGCATGCGACCTGTTGGACGGTTCTCCTTGGGGCGCCGCCACGCTTTCTGTCAAATTGGTGCCAGACGTGCAGGAGTGGCTTGTCAGTAACGGGCCAGAGGTGCGTCGACCTGTTCCCAGCTGCTGGCGGCGGTTGCCCGCCGCCACCGCCACATGCCCATGCGCCGTTGCGTGGTGCACCGCACAGCCCAGCGGTGCACCTCCCATGTAGCCTCAGCGCTTTGACTAACCCTCAACGTGCCGCCCATTTCGTGACAACCAGGGCGTGACCAGCACAGCGCTGCAGGCTGCTGTGTTCGAGGAGCAGCAGCAGCTGAGCGGCACCGGTGCAGCACCGCCGCCAGACTTTGTGCACGAGTGGCAGCAGGACGAGCCGGGGGAAGGGCAGCAGCCGCTGCCACAGCAGCAGCAGGTGCAGCAGCAGCAGTCGGGATGGCAGCAGGGATGGCAGCAGCAGGATCCAAGTTACGACCCACGAGACTGGGAGCCAGACTGGCAGATGCAGGAGCAGCAGCATGAGCTTGAGCAGCAGGACCTGCCCGCCCAGCCGCCCGCCCAGCATGCAGCCTACGCCGGCGGCGGCTCGCAGGGAGGAGGCGATGACGGCGGGTGGCAGGAGGTCGGGACCGGCAGCAGCAGCCGCGGCGAGCGCCCGCGCAGCCGGCCCCGCGGCGGCGGCGGCTCGTCCACGGCGACGGCCGCTGGCGGTGTTCCCAGCCTGGACAGCGGGCGCCTGATGGTGCGGAACCTGTCGCCAGAGACAACGCAGGCGCAGGTGGCAGCGGCCTTCAAAAAGTGAGCTGCATGCGCCCGCCTTCTGAGCTGGGGAGGCGCCTTGAGGCCGGCCTTTGCACCTGCAGCAGCAGGCGAGCTCCTGCTCAGGATACCCCGCCCTTGGCGGCTCACAGCCCGCCTTGTGGCCTCCCCTCCTGTCCAGGTTTGGGCGAGTGGTGCACGTCGTCAAGACGGGGAGCAAGCGGTATGCTCACGTGCAGTTTGATAGCCGGGCCAGCGCCGCCGCCGCTCTGGAGGCGCTGAACGAGACCCTGGTAGGTCGGCAGTGCAGGAGTATGCAGGGACGTGCCCCGGCGCACCGAAACTCTTGTAGGGGTGTGCAGAGCATGCTGTGCTGCGAGCTGTGAAGGGCATCCAGCTGCTGCTTCCTGGCTGCCGCATGGCGGGATGTGAGCCGCCGCTGGCTGGCGCTCCCCCTGCTGCCTGCACCGCGCTGTGCAGGTGCCAGAGCTCAACAGCAGCGGCGTGATCTTTGTGGCTCCCAGCTACCCCGCCAGCGATTCGTCGGCGAGGGTGCGTGCCGGCAGTAGCGGCGGCGCCAGCGCCAGCAAGAAAAATATCAGCGACACGCCCACATCGGTGCTGTGGGTGGGCAACCTCCAGCATGGCACCCAGGCAGAACGTGTGCGAGAGGTGTTCAGCAGGTGCGGAGCAGCATGCATGGCTGTGCCCCAGAAAGCTCACGAGGCGGGGCTTGCGGGCTGCTGCGCAGTGAAGCATGCCTGAATTGCGCTGCAAACTGCCACCTCTCCACCTGCTTCCCATTCGCCCTCCCGCCGCTGCGGCTGCCGCTGCGTGCCGCAGGTTTGGGGCGCTGCTGCAGTGGCAGGTGGAGCGGGGTGAGGTGGCGGGGCGCACGCAGCTGCTGCGGTACGCCATTGTCCAGTTCCGGAGGCAGCAGGATGCGGTGGCGGCCTATGGAGCACTCAACCACCAGGTGGGTGGGCGCGTACAAGAGGATCCAGCTGCTTCACCCAGTGCCGGGCAGAGTCGCACACCTGCTGACCGCAGTCCAACCGCCCCTGCTGCCGTTCAGTACGTCGACGAGCTGAGCAAGTTCCCGCTGAAGATACACTACCGTGTTAAGTGAGACACGTGTGGGCACCCTGTAACACCTTGCCTCATGGCATGAGAGAACCAGAATGCCGCCCGTCGCGGTTGCCTAGTGTGCGGCGCCAGCCTGCCGTGCCATGTCACAGCGCCACCTCACCCAGACGCAATTGGCCCACCGAGACAGTCTACTGTGATGCAATTGATCGCATGTCGACCGTTCAGGTGTCGAGCATTCCCATTTCGACCAGCGCTGAAGAGCTGCGCAGTGTCTTCGGCCAGGCGGGCGACATCCGGCAGCTCATCTTGAGCTACGATAGCAATGCAGCGGAGGGGCAAGCCCTGGTTGCCTACAGCCACCCTGCCGCCGCAACGGAGGCGGTGGACCTCCTGGACGCGTACCCCATGGGCTCCAGCTTGCTAGACGTGCAGGCGAGACGCATGATCAGCGCCGCAGGCCGCCACTGCTGCCGCCGCCGCTCTGTAGGTGCCGCACCGGGCCGCCACCTGTGCCGCCGCCGCTGCACCGCACCGGGCCGCCGCCTGTCGGGCCGCCGCTGCACGCCGAGGCATGTAGCCCTATATGTTCCCGGCCTGCAGGAGGTGGGGGTCGACCAGTACATGGGCCGCCTCCTGTCGTCGCTGCTGGCCAAGAGCAGCCCGTGGCAGGAGCAGGCTCCGGCGGCAGCGCCGGCGGTGGCTACCAGCGGCGCAGCGCCAGCGGCGGCAGAGGCGGGAGGTGGGACGCAGGGCGGCCTGTCTGCGCTGGAGGATGAGATGCGGGAGCTGCAGCTGCACCTGCAGCAGCACGCCGATGACCTGCAGCAGTACCAAGCGCCGTCTGGCAGCAGCCAGCAGGACGAGGATGACGACGGCTGGCAGGACGTAGCCCCCGCGCGCCGCCCCCACCCGCAGCACCAGCACCAGCACCCGCAGCCGCACTCGCCGCCCGCAGGCGCCGGCGGCGGCGCTGCCACGGGCAGCCCCGATGTGCCCAACTCGGGGCTGTGGATCGGCTGGATTGACTTGGGAGTCGAGAAGGCAGACCTGGCGGCCGCGCTGTCCCAGTGAGTGTGTGCACCAGGGAGAGCTAGCTTTGCAGAGTGTGTGCAGGGGCTTGCTCGCGTGGCCTGCATCGTGCCTGCATGCCTGCGCGTGGCGTGGTGTTTGCTGAGTGCGGCAGCCGGTGGCCGCCAGGTGGGACGAGCTGCCTGGGCGCCGCCAGCCTGCAGGTTTGGGCCCGTCAGCATCGAGCACCTGCAGGCAGCCCAGCGCCCCGCGTACGACGGCCGCATGTACAAGGTGAGGCTGCATGCGTCCCGCCTGCTGGCCCGCCCCCTGCCTGCCACGTGATGCCTGTAGCTGCAAGCTCGGCGCACGCCCCTTCGCGCTGGCGGCCGTGCAGTGGGGCATCGCCCGCTTCCGCAGCTTGGAAGACTCCGTGCGTGCCAAGAAGGCGCTGGCCAAGCAGGTGATGCCTGGCTGTGCCTCTGGGATTGTGCCATGCACCGAGCGCGCAGTCAGGATGCATCGCTGTGCCGGTGGCAGGTGGAGGCACAGCGGGAGGCACACCTGTATGTGTCAGCTCGCTGCGTGCCTGCAGCCGCTCCGTGACCCGAGGGTCAAATCGGTGCCGCCGCGCCACCTGCAGGTGCTGCCCGGCATCAGCGTGATGCCTCTGAAGGTCACCTACTACCATCCCCATCACAGCAAGGCCAAGTAGAGCCAGATAGGAGGCCCCCGGCCAGCTGCTGCTCAGCCATGCACAAAGCGGTCGTCCATGCGCTGTTGCCCTGGCTGCATCTTCCTTCTCCTACAGTTGTGTGCACAGCCTTGCTTCAATTGCTTTTCAAAATCCTTGCACCAGAAGTTTAGGTCAGTCTGTGAGGAACAATGCCGACACACCGACACGGCAGTGCACGCTTCTGCTGCCGCCGCTCCAGCTTACTCCCCTGCTGGCCCAGCGCTCTGGCTGCGTCCGGAGCCGGGAGCGGCAGCACCTGCGGCGGCGGTGATGGCCGGCAGCTGGCTGCGGCGCGGCATCTTGCAACCCACCCAGTCGGGCTGCACAGGGAGCAAGAGGCAGGCTCTAGTTCAGTCAGCATCCACCAAGAGGCCTCGGTGCCAGCAACGTATGTAGGCGGGGCCAGTTCAGCAGGGATCACAGTCCCGCCGGGGCCAATGCCAGGCTCTGGTAATCGGGTGCTATGGTTGGCAGCGGCCTGCCTGCAGGGTGAGCTGCTTGGGGTTGTCGGGGTCCTGCATGGAGTAGACCGCGCCCTGCACCCGCCCCGCGTAGTCGCCCTGTACCGCCACGTACCTGCACCAGCCAGCAGCACAGCAGGCGGAGGCAGCCCAGCTCTGCTTTGCTGTGGCACCAGCGGCATGCACAGGAAAGGGCTGCACTGCTGCACTGCCACACCACTGCCACACCACAGATGGCTGCCATGCTCGGCGCTGGGCGGGTAGGGGACAGGGAGCGAGGGCTCTCACCAGCTGCCATCGATGACGTCCATGGTCTCCAGCCGCGTGGCAGCTGCCTCTGTGAACACCTGGTCCCGCTCAAACCTGCCAGGCAGCCGGAGAACCCAGCTGAGGGAGGCTGGTGGGAGGGCGGAGCACGCCCTGCCGGGATGCGCTGCTTCCAGTGATGGTGTGTGGCCACAGTCAGCCATGCGCCCTGCTGCGACCACCAGCAGCTGCAGCCCGCCCACCAGCAGAGGTCTGGATCCCCTCGCTGCCGCCGCGCCGCATCCATCAAGCACACGTTCCAGCGGGCAGCCGCCATCAGCAGGCGCGGCGCCAGCAGTGGGTGCCCGCCAAAGTTGCTGCGAACCTGCGGCGCGGGGCAGAAGCGGAGGGGTGCGAGATGCTGTCAAGCGTATGCACTGAACCCGGGTACATGAGCAGCGGCGGCACAGGCCGGCACACACCTTGACGAGGAGGCGGGTGGTGTTTGGCTCGACGCCGCAGTCTGCCCTGCACCACCCCGGTGCACGCACCCCTGTTTCCGCTGCAGATGACGCCAACCAAAATCACAGCACAAGCCATCCTTCCAGCCCACTACAGCTCTGCACCACAGGGCCCTGGCTGCCCAGCCCCGCTTTCTTTCTCTCACTTGCACCCAAACCTCCCAAAGGCCGCAAACTCAATGGGCGCCTCGCAGGCGCCGTCACCGCACACGGGGTCGCGCCAGTGCGGCGCCACCAGCCTGCCCTCGATGTAATCCAGCACCTCACCGCTGCTGCCAAACCGGGCGCTGGTGGCGCCGCCTGCGAGGCAGACGGAGGGCAGGTCTTGGTCGGACAGGCCGCTGGGGCAGTGGTGGCAAGCCAGTGGTGAACCGGTGCAATATGCCTTTCTGTTCTAGGCCGGAGCCAGGCGCTCGCTGATCGGCATGGCCCGCCCTTTTGGCGGTGCAGCGTGCCTGGCAGCAGGAGCGAGCGCAGCGTGCCCACGACGTCGGCGGTGCGGTAGGCTGCGGCCTGCAGCCACAGCGCCGTCAGGTAGGCGGCCATGAAGGCGGTGAAGGCCAGGATGTGGCGGTACGTGTGCTCCGTCTCCACGGCGGCCTGCGAGGGGGGTGGGACAGGGGACCGGCGGGCAGAGCATGGTGAGGTCGGCAGTGGCGGCGCCGGGTGGGCGGCGGGGCCACGGGAATGTGCCGCGCCCCAAGCCATGCAGCGCGCACCTGGAGCTTCCGGCGCACTGCCTCCGCGACGGCCGCCTCCGCCTGCTGCCTGCCGCCCTCATTTAATCGCTGCATGGTTGCGAGGCAACCTGTGCTGAGGCCGATGCGGGGCTGGGTGGGGCCCACCAATACCCCTGCGACTCCTGGAATGCCCCGGGGGCCTAGGGAAGCCGTCCAATGGCCAATGTGTCCATGCTGCGTGCTGCGCAAGGCTGACTCCTCGAAGCGCGGCAGAACCCCGCCAGGCATATGCCAGGCCTCCAAAGCCTGCGTCTTTCCGTCTGATCGGCCCATCTCAGTCCTTGTGCGCCGGGTTTACCCGCTCCGCGACGCTTGAGCACCCCACTTGCACCACAACCGCTGGTGCCCGCGAGCCGACGCCCCCCTTGATCAGCCCCGAGGCATGGCGTCTCAGCAGAGCCTCGGCGGCACGGGGGGCTCACGAGCGGCCTTCATTTTCGACCTGGGCGAGGCAACCCCAGGGGCCAACGCCCTCCTGCTCGCCAACCTGCAGCGCCACCAGCAGACAGCCCAGATGAGCGTCCACCAGCAGCACGCCGCGCACCACCCCAGCTGCCCCCACGCGCCGCCGCCGCCTGCCCTTGCGGGCGCCGGCGTAGCGCCGCCACCACACGTGCGGCAGCACGGCGCCGCTGCGAGGCTCAACAGCCAGCTGCAGAGCTTGGAGGCCCAGGGGTCGCTGGGTGGCACAGCGACTGGCCCCGAAGCTGCAGCGGACCAGGGCTCGCAGCCGCCGCAGCAGGGCTCGCAGCCGGAGCTGGCCGCCGCCGCCACCGCCACCGACGCGAGCCTGCGCAGCCGCCTGGCCGGATTTGCGCTGCGGGTCGGCGACATGCTGCAGCCGCAGGGCGAGGCGCCCGGAGACGCGACGTGGGGCGAGCGCACAGCCAACGTACTGACCTCCCTGCCCTTCCTGGCCCTCGGCTTGCACATGCACAGGTGCGCGCGCGCCCAGCCCGACCTAGCACCCAGGGCTTGCATTGCTGGCCCTAGCCCCGCAGCCCTGCCTGCTCCTGCACACTGCCTGGGAGGTGGGGTCATGCATGGCTGGGCGGGGACAGCAAGCGGATGCGTGCAAACCTACCACGCTTCAAGCGCTGCCCCCGCTTTTAAAACCCAGTCCCGGCCCATTCAAACGCCGCCGCCTGTACCGCACACGCACACACACCCTGGCTTCCTGCCCATCCCCTCCCCTTCCCCACCCGCTCTCCCTTCTCCTCCTGCCCCCTAACCCACCTGCCTCGCCCTCCCTGGCTCCCCGCGCCCCGCAGGCAGCGGCTGACCCCCGAGGGGCGGCACCACGCGCTGAGCATGGCGGCGGTGGGCGTGGCTGCCACCGCCTACCACGCCGCCTCGGGCCGCGCCCGCCGCATCGCCCGCAAGGTCGACTACTGGACCATCGCTTACACCAGCACCGCCATGGTGCGGCCTCGCCCGCCTGGCTGGCTGCCCAGCCCGGCGGGCGGCGGGGCGGCCTGCGCAGCCTTCCGCAGCCTGTGCCCAGCCTTCCGCAGCCTGCGCCCAGCCTTCCTCGGCCCGCCCTTGCCTGCTCGCCTCCAGGCGCTCGTGTGCCCACGGCGTGGTGTCACCATGCCCCACGCCGCCTCCTGACGCCCCTCCCTCCCGCCTCCCTCCCTTGCCCCCCGCTCTGCACAGGTCAAGGCGCTGTTTGCGGACAGCTGCGGGGTGCGGCGCGCCGCCAACCTGTCGCTGCTGGCGCTGCCCTTCCGCCCCTTCCACGTCTCCGCCGCCAACACGCTCATCATGCAGGCCGAGTTTGCGCGCCAGGCGGCCGGCAACAAGGTGTGTGCAGCAGCCGCCCCGCCCTGCCCTGCCCTTTCCTTGGCTTTGCTGTTGGCTCGGGGTGCGGGCTGGTGGCCCAAGCAGGCAAAGGCGCAGGGCGTGTGGGAGGGTCGTTCATTCCCGAGTCGGCCCCTGTGCCTGCCCTGCCCTGCCTGCCCACCGTTGGCTGACCGCCGACCGCCTGCCGCGCGCCCTCCCCCCCCGCCGCGCAGGCCGTGCGCGCCGACCTGCACCGCCACTACGCCGCCGCGCTGCTGGGCATGGCCGCTTTCTTCGGGGAGGACATGGTCATGGACAGCGGCTACGGCGGCTTTGTGCACGCGGGTGAGCGCCGCGCAGGGGGCCGCGCAGGGGCCTTGCTGCGGCCTTGCCGCCGCCGCGGGTCGCCTCGGGTGTACCCTAAACCCCAGCAGCCGAGTACAGCCGTGTGTTGCTCTGCTGCTCAGCCACCCCCACACACACGCACCCACCTGCCTGCCTGCCTGCCCGCCTGCCCCCCTGCCGCAGCCTGGCACTGCCTGGCCACCTACAGCATGTACACCATCAACGGCCTGCTGGGCCACAAGGAGCGCCAGGTGCTGCGCCGCCAGCTGGCGCGCCAGCAGGGCGCCGGCGCGGCGGGCAAGCCGCTGCGCCGCCCCGTGCACAGCAGCGCCTCCAGCCTGCCCAGCTACGGCGGCGCCAAGCGCGGCGGCTGGTCCACGGGCACCGCCTCGCCCTGAGCCGGCGCACCCGCGGCCTGCACCGCCGTGCCTGGCCAGCCCAGGCGGCCCGGTGCTTTGGCCCATCAGCCTCCCCCCTTGTTGAGCGAGACGCGGGGCAGCCCACGCGCCCCCCCCTGCCTCCCCCTGCCGCTCCCCTTGCTTGGGGCCGGCATTGCTACAATATGAAACGAATGAGAGCGACCCCCCTTGTTGATTCACTGTGCATGTACCCTGTACCCCCTGAGCGCTACTCGCAGTACTGCCAACCTTTGTTCTGCCCCTCCCTGACACCCTTTTGAGCTTGTCCCTGTCTCCCCGTGACCCTTTTGGCACCGCATCCTCGTCCGTGGCCGGCTGCCACACACACATACATACATTCTTTCCTGCTCCGCGTCTGCGGCAGCCGCAGCAGCCCCCCCTTCAGTCCTGCCAGGGCAGGCAGCGGCTGCTGCTGGCCCACGCCCGCCCGCCGTCCCCACCCTCTCTGCCCACCACGAACTGTTTTTGTCCGCCGCCCAAGCCCGGGCGCGGCCCCGTATTGATTGCCGCTGCAACGCCCGCCTTTTGGACCCTCCTCCCCACAACCCAACCCAACTTGGAACATTAATTCGGCCCCCAATGCAGCTGCTTCTAATGTAGACTTGCTCTCAGCCGCGCGCCGCACTGCCGCAGTAACGCCTGCCAGGCTGCGGGCGCACGCTTCAGCCGTAACCTGTCCCTGTGTCCCTGTGTCTGCTTTTCCCTTTCCATCTTCTCCCCTCACGTGAGAACCCATGCACCCCCCGGCGCCCATCGCTCGCCCATCGCATTGGCACAGAGCCGCCCGTTGACCGGCCTGGGCATCGCGCCCCCTGTAGCGCAGGGAAGCTTTTTGACGCCGCACGCCTGTGGCAATCCCCTGTAACGAAGCCCCCTATAACGACACAGCGGAGAGGGCGGCATATGGACAGGGCGGCATACGGGTCGCTGGTAGCCGGTGGCAGCACCGGAGCGGCACTGCACACTGGCCAGAGCAGGGCGCTGCTGCAGCCGACTCGGCGCCATCGCGTGCACACTGTCTCTGTACTCTGTCTGCTGGAATGATGGGAGGGGAGACGCAGCAAGTGGTGATCGCCATGTGTGCGAGGGGGCCTAGCGAGGCCATTAGGCTCCGTCTGCCTTCACACAAAGCAGGGAAGTGCAGGGTAGAGGTCTTGGATGATGATCCCTGCGGTTCAGTATTTCACAGTCTGCACAGCACAGCACAGCACATCAGCACACCTCACGTCCTTTTGTCGCTGCCCGCAATCCAATTTTGCTGTCCAACAGACGCATGCATTGGCAGCAGGGCCCCAGCACCCAAACCCTGTTTTGGTCAACTCCTGCGAAACGCGCGCCCCTGCCCAACGCGGGCCTGCATTGTCGCGAATTGAGCCCTCAGAAGCCAGCCGAGACCGCTTCGAAATGAGCGGACTTGCAGCATCGGGAGCGCAAGGAAGCGGCGGCAGCGCTGCCGCCAGGGCGGGAGGCGGCGCGCTGCCAAAGCTCCACACCGTCACTCTCGATGGCGGTCTGCTGGATGCAGCAGCCTCGGCGCGCCCCGTGGGAGGGCCCAGCAGCCGGGCCGGCCCACGGGGCAGCCCCAGGCGAGGCGCTGGGCAGGCGCGCTCCACGTGGGGCAGCGCCAGCCAGCGGCACTCCCCCGCAACCGCCGCGTCTGGCAGCAGGGGAGGAGGGGAGCGGCCCCGGCAGACCCCCGGCACCGTGATGCTTGACAAGGGGGAAGGTGAGGACTGCTGGGCCCACCTACCAGCTCTTACATGCAAGTGTGGCCTGGCAGCCTGGCCACCTTGCCCGGAGTGTGGCATCGCCACCTCCAGCTAACCCCACCACCCCCATCTCACTCGCTCCCTTCTTGCCCACACACCCGTACACCTCTCCCACGCGCTGCAGCCGAGGCCTCGTTCATCGGTGCGCTGCGCAGCCACTATGCGCGCAACGGCACCGCCGAGAGCTTCGCACCCAAGTTCAGCACCTCGCCGCACTCGGCCTACGGCGGCGGCGGCGCGAGCGAGGCCCCGCCGGGCCGCTCGCCTGGCCGGTCGGCCACGGGCCCCGCGTGGCTGGAGCAGCAGGAGCGGCAGCTGTGGCAGGAGCGGGAGGAGGAGCTGGTGGATGCTCAGGTGAGGTGCTGCGTGGCTAACCTTGGAGCTGCGGGTCCGCACCTCGCTCCAGTGGAGGGGCAAACCTTGGTCCCACCTGGCAGCAGCTGTCGGCGTGCCACGGCAGCTGCCTGTGCCAATTCATCCGCCTGCCTTCCTCCACTTCCGACTGACTGTGCTGGCTCTGCGTGTGGCTCTGTGTGTGCCGCTGCCTCAGGAGCGGCGCTTTGCCCAGCTGGAGGATGCCCTGGCGGCCAGGGAGGCGAAGCGGGAGACCTACCTTGTGCACAGGCTGGAGGCCAGCGCCGCCGACAAGATCCAGGAGCACCGCAGGTGGGGTCGAGGCCAGCCAGGCAGGGTGGGCCGCTGGCGCTGGGCATGGCATGGCCTGGCTGTTCGAACAGCTGCCAGCAGATGCCAGCGGATAACCCTGTTCAACTCACGAGCAGGCTAGGCTTTGCATCCCCACAAAATATCACCTTCCACCCCAGCTGCCCCTCTGGCCCCTGCAGGCGCCAGGAGGCGGCCGCCAGGGAGCGCCAGCTGGCGGCGCAGCGTGCGCAGCACCTGCCGTCGTTGAAGCAGGCGCACGCTGCCACCCTGCCGCCCGCCCGCGCCGCGTCGCTGCGCAGGCTGGCTGCCCGCCCCGTGTTCCCCGCCTCGGCCGGCCTGGCGGCAGCCGTGGGCCAGACAACAGCCAGCATCAGCTCGCTGTCTGGCATCAGCACGATGCAGGCGGGGCTGGAGAGCCAGCAGGCATTCAGCCCCGGCGCTCTGGGCGGCGCCAGCGCCGCCACCCGGGCGCAGCCGGGCCTGCCGCGGCTGGGCTCGGGGCGGCTGGGCTGGCGGGAGAAGCGGGAAGCTGAGGCGGCACGGCTTGTGGATCAGGCCTACTCGCATATCAAGGTGAGGCTGGCGCGGAGGTCCTCTGTGGTGTGGCTGCCTGCTGATGCCGCGCTCAGCACCTCACCTGCACGCCAAGCCAAGCTGAGCCAGCTGGCTGCGTTGTATGTGGATGCCTGCAGGCCACCAAGGCCACTGGCGGCAGGCTGCTGAGCCCGCTTGATGCTGCCAAGGAGGCCGGCAGGCGGCGGCTGGCAGACAGCACCCCCGCCCCTCGCCAGTCCCCCTCCACCTCCCGGAGCTGGGAGCGGGGTGTGGAGGAGCATGCCGCGGCGTATGAAGCACGCCTGGCAGCAGCGCGATCCGAGGATGGTGTACCACTGGCTGCTGGATGCCAGGCGTGTGCCAGAGCAGGCAGCGCTGGTGCTGGAAGCCCCGGGGGGTCTCCTGTGGGGGATGCGGCCTGGGAAGAGGAGCTGCATGACGAGGAGCCTGCGGGCAGCCCAGCGCAAGAATGGCGGCAGCCCACGGCCAGCCCCACTGCAAGTGCTGCTGGCGGCGAAGGGCAAGGGCCAGCCCCAGAGCTGCAGCTGGAGGTGGCGGAGGCGGTAGAGGCAAGCGCAGATGTGCAGGCGGCCGAAGAGGCAGCACCTGCTGTCCTGGCGCTGGTGGAGGCAGAGGCAGCGGCGCTGTTTGAAGAGAAGGCTGCCGGCGGAGCAGAGGATGAGACAGAAGAGGCGGCACCAGGAGTACCGCAAGGCCCGCTGCGGGAGACGAGGGAGGGCAGCGTGAGCGGCCCAGAGCCTGCACAAGCAGCAGACGAGGCAGGTGCAGAAGGAGCATCAGGCGCTCAAGTGGCCAGCAGCATCGACGGCTGCCGCAGCGCCAGCTCTTCCTTGCCGCTGGAGGCCCCATCTGCAGAGGGCAGCAGCCAGGGGCCAGCTGGCTCGGATGGGATCCCTGCAGCGGATGCGCTGGCCGCCCTGATGGTGGCCGCAGGGTCGGCAGCCACCCTGAGCCCAGATGCTGAGCAGCCGCATTCAGAGTGTGCCCCGTTGGCAGAGGCCGCACCTGCAGAGGAGGCAGTGGGGGAAGCAACTGTGGAGCAGCTGGATGCGCCGCAGCTGCCAGAAGCGTTGGCGGCACCGCCAGAAGCGGCCGGGTCAGCACCAGCGGCAGCAGGGGCAGCAGCAGAGGCGGCAGAGGCGCTCCAGGAGGCTGAGACTCCTGAAGCGCTCTTCTCGGCAGGCTCCTTTGCCCCAGCGCTGCGCCTGGTGCTGCTGCCGGAGGAGATTGCAGCCTTCGAAACAGACAAGGCAGCGGCATTGGCGGCGGCGGTGGCCAAAGTGGCTGTGTCGGCCGCGGTCACAAAGGCAGAGGCAGAGGAGGTGCCGCAGCTTCCAGGCGCAGCAGGCGGCAGCCTAAGCACAGCAGAGGAAGAGCCTGCCCTGCAGCTGCCGGCGCCAGCCGATGCCTGGGTGACTGTCAATGGCGCTGCAGCAGGGCAGTTGCCAGAAGAGAGGCCTGCAACCGCTTCTCGGCCCCTGCGACTGTCAATGCTGCCAGAAGAGATTGCAGCGTTTGTGCTGAGCAAGGCGGTGGCTGAGGCAGCAGCAGAGCAGCAGGCAGACCAGCCGGCTGGAGAGGAGGGGAAGGCAGCACAGGAGGCGGAGCAGCAGGCAGGCCCGGCGGCAGGGGAGGAGGAGGCGGCACAGGAGGCAGAGCAGCAGGCAGGTGAGGTGACAGGGAAGGATGACGAGCCACAAGAGGCCTGTGAGGCGGCAGCCGAAGAGGCGGCAGATGAGGTGGCCACGGCGCCCGAGCTGGGGTATGCGGAGATCACTGATGCGGCCGCAACGGAGTGTGCTCCACCACAGCTGCTGCTGGCGGCAGAGGGTGCATCAGCAGAGGGGCCTGCAGAGCAGCCAACAGCTCCAGCGCAGATTGTGGATGCAGTGGACAGCACGGCACAGGATGGGGAGGAGGAGGAGGAGGGCCCGACAGCGCCACCAGAGCTGCTGCTCACAGCTGGGGATGCCGCCGTGGACGATGCCCAGGCTGCGCCCCTGCGGCAGCTGGAGGATGCCACTCTGGTGCAGCAGCAGGCTGCGGTCAGCGCAGATGGGCCTGGCGAGCAGGTCACAGCCATGCCCCTGATGCCGCCTGCCGTGCCAGGTGCCCAGGGCACATCTGCCGAGGAGCTGGAGCAGGCGGGGCTCTTGATCGTCCAGCAGAGCCTACTAGAGCATACGGCCCAGGGCCTGGCCCTGCTGCTCCCTGGCGCTTCCTTTTGTGGGGATGCCGGCCCTGGCAGCGGGCAGCCTGCAGACCGCTCCGCTGCTGCCGCCGCTGAGGAGGAGCCCGGCTGCTGCGCAGCTGGCTGTGGCGGTGCTCAGCCGCAGGACGGGCCCGAGCCGGCGGGCGAGCATAGTGCTGCCGCAGCAGCAGACGCCGACGAGGCCGCGTCTCAGGCTTGCGGCCAGGGCGAGCGCAGCGCCGCGGCGGTTACGGCAGCAGACAGCGCGGAGCAGGTGCAGCTGACGGGCCGTGCATCAGCCAGCCTCATGTTCGGAGGAGGCTCAGAGGTGCAGCTGCTGGAAGGAGCTGGCCAGCCGGTGGGGGATGAAGCTGACCCAGCGGATGATGCAGCTGCCGAGCCAGCACCAGCTGCGGCAGGGGCAGAGGCCCCTGAGGCTGATGCCGAGGCCTCAGCAGCCAGCAGCGATGCAGGCAGCGACGCGGGGGCCAAAAGTGCTGACTGGGAGCTGGAAGGGGAGGAGGCGGGAGCTGAAGAGGCACAGCGAGCTGGAGGAGAGGTCATCAGCGCGATGGACCTGTGTGCTGACCTGGCCAGGCCGGCGCCGGCAGATGACAGGCAGTAATGACGGGGCTAAGGGAGCAGTGGCTTGAACAGACCAAGGAACAGGCGGCGGCCACCAGCATGGCTGCTGATGGAAGGGCATGATAGCACGGGGGCGCTGCCGCCACACACTCTTCTGCCATCAGCGGTTGCACCTCTCCTGCCAGCCGGGTTCCCTTGGATTCATCGACTCATGATCTTAACATTTTGTGACCAGTGAAGCAGATGCACAAGCAAGGGAGAACAGATCAGGCACTAAAATGCATTACGACACAGCAGCACTGGGAGCAAGGCAGGACGGCACGTCGGCGTGCTGACGCAGTCAAACTTGCAGAGGATAGACTGCCCTTGATGGCATCCATATCTAACACTTCTGGATAACGATGTTGAGGTGTGGGTTGGCGAGCCTGGACTCCAGGAGCGCTCGCACAACCTCGTGGGAGAAGGGCTGCTCGCGGTGCAGGCAGACATCTGTCAGGGAGGGGTGTCGCGCCAGCCAGCGCATGAGGCTGGCCTCCGCCGAGGGCTCCAGGAACTCCAAATCAAGCAGGTCCATCTTCCAAAGCTGCAGCTCCTAATATGATACTGCTGTGTAGCACTTGAGAGGCCGATGACTGCAGCGAATGCAGGTTGCCCAGCCAACGCCCGAAAGGAAAACCCCGGCTGGCCACCTCCTCACTCCTCCAAGTGAAGCTCTGCAGCTCCGACAGGCCTTTCAGCGAGTCTGGAGGGCCTGGCAGCGGCAGGTAGCCCAGGGTCAGGCTGGTCAGCTGGGTCAGTTTGCTGATGCCGTCGACAGCGATGGCTGCCTCCTCTGCTGTGCCACCACTGCCGCTGCGCCGGATGTGCAAGCGTTTCAGCGGCACCAGCAGCGATAGGTGAGCTGGCAGGTGGCTGCAGAGGGTCTGGGTCAGGGAGGTAAGGGCGCTCAAGGAGGACAGCGTGCCGAAACCATCGGCGACGTGTTCGCAGGCGTGCAGTGCCACTTCACGCAATCCAGCGACAGCAGCCAGCTGCAAGGCAGTCAAAGTACTTAGGGCATGGCGAGAATTATTGTTTCCTGTACCTGTCCACACATTAAACAAGCAGGTATGTGCCAAGGTGCACTGCTGAGAAAGTCTGAACCACCAGCTGAATCACCACATGCTGAAAGCACCAGCACCCACCTGAGGAGGCAGGTATGGGTTAGAATGACCACCCAAGAACAGTCTAGTCAGGTGAAGGGGCAGGCGCTCCTGATCTGTCAGAAGCAGGCCCTCTGGATCATAGGAGGTAAGCTCCAGCGACTTGAGGAGCGGCAAGCTGCGAAGTGCTCCAGGCTCTGCGATCAGCTGCTCGCCGTCTGCCCTGATGCACAGATGCCTCAGGCCGCTGATGGCCGCCGTGAAAGCATTGGAGAGCCTAAAGGGCAGCCTGCACAAGTCCAGCTGCAGGCGCTCCAGCCCGGCTATGCCGCAGGCAACCAGGCCGGCAGTCAGAGCGGCAGTCAGGTCGCCTTGCAGGTAGCAGCACAGGGTGGCATCGCTGCCCAGGTCGAGCTCCAGCTCCCGAACGTGGCCGGCCGCATGCTTCACCAGCCACTCGCCAAGCGACAGCGAGCTAAAGAAGAGCGCTGGGTCGCCTGTGTGCAGCGTGACGCTGACCACGCGCAGGAGGTGAGGGGCGTTGACCACCCGCGACCAGCGGCAGCACACGAGCGGGATGGCCTTGTGCCTGCAGCATGGCACTTCCAAGGAGCGGCGTCGTGGGTGCTGGCACCACAGCGCGCGGCAGCACCCGCATGATGCAACCTTGGCAGCAGCTCACCTCTGCTGCAAGCCGATGCAGCCGAAGATCTGAGCCACTGCCGAATCGGGCAGGTCGGCAAAGCCGACTCGCGCCGCCGCGCGCTGCTGTACAGGAGGCTGCATGTCGCCCGCCTGCCTTTACAAGAGGCGATCGGTGCCAGGCTTATCTAGGCCTATAGGCGTCAGGCCTGCAGCAGCAACATGAGAAGGCGCCACTTGCGCATGCCGTAGTCGCCGGCAGCAGAGCTGTTGTGGACCCCAAAATTTGAACGGCAGGCGGTGACGGGCGGGGTGACGCCGGCAGCGCCCTGGATCCTCCACGCCCTTTCGACTCTGCCCCACTAGCTGGTGATCAGCCCAGCCCAGGGGCCCGAGCCTCACCTCGCTGCGCAGCTCAAGCGCTCCCCCAGTCTTCAGTCTGCAGCCCTCACAAGCTGCCGAGGTTGTCGCCCAGGTCCACCAGCAGGCGTAGAGCAAACTGGCAGGGTTGGCAGTCTTGAGCCGGCTCATTTTCCTGCTGGAAAGCAGGGGTTCGATCTACTCAGACAGGGCTCCTCGTCTCTGCCGTCTTGTGTCTCTGTGGCTGGACAACAGACACGGTTGTTGGAGCTGGCCCAGGGCCAGGTGGGACGGGTTGGGCCTCACCCTGTCCCCCGGTCGGCCGCTCCCCATGACACTGCACAAGGCCGAGTGCCGGCGCCTGAGCGCTGCTCCGGCTGCTGCGCAGCCCTAGCCAGCCCCGGGCGATGCACAGCCGCCTGGCAGTGCCAAGACCCATCGGGCAGGGCCCGCCCATGCAGCAGTCTGTCGCACGAGTGTCCTTAACCGCCCCGCCCGCCTGCGCTGGCTGGGTCTGAGCCTCATGCACTTACCTTGACGATGCTTGCCGCTGTGTGACAACGGCACAAGCTTGCCTTTCGGGCAGCAGAGAGCCGTGGAGGTGGGAGGAGTTGAGACGCAACTGGCCGTTCCATTTGAGCGCTGCCCGTCACAGCGCCCCCCGCCCCCCGTCCACCCGGCGTGGCATGCAGCTGTTGGTGCTGCATGGGGGCATGGGAGCGTCCACCAGGCTGTTTGATGTGCAGTGGCTTGGATAAATGGCGGCCAAAAGGCTGGCAAAAGATAGAGGAGGTCGGGTAGACCGCCCGGCGCCGGCGCTGCGCTGGGCATGGCGTCGCCAGGCGGGCCGATGTACTTGCCTGCCTGTTTGCTCCTTCCACCTCCCTCACCACTGCAACGTCTGCGCCATCCATGGCAGTCCTTCTAGGGGCGGTGGAGGTGGAGGGGGTGCCCTCCGGGGCGTCGGTGGACGACTTGGCGGTGGTCATCGGGCAGTTTGGCTCCATTCAGCGCATACTGATATCCAGCAGAGGCGCTCGGGGGGCCGGGAACGCGTTAATCGTGTTGCCGCAAGCCTCCGCTTCCGAAGTGGCCGAGGCGTTGGGACTCTACCCTCTATCGGGTGGCCTGTTAGAATCCCGTTGTGGCCAACGACACGCATCCTGGGGTGCGACGCTACGTTGGGCACCAGGTGGGGCGCGCCCTGCTCTGCCCGCCCCGCCCTGCAGGCGGCGTCGCCTCCAACCTCCTCACCCTGCCCCTGGGCAGTTGCTGGACGGCTTGTCGCCTCCCGCTTCCCCGTCGGCTCCCGTGGCCCTCCCGCAGCTGCCGCCGCCGCCCGCTGCCACAGTACCGCTGCCGATCCCTTTGGCGCCTCCCGCTGGGTTGTTTGAAGGCATCAAAGCGCAGCCTGTGGGGACTGTGGCGAGCCAGCATGTCGCCGTCCCCGACCCCAGCAGCTGGGAGGCTGTTGGCACCGACTTGGAGCCCCACAGTTTGGGTCACTCGAGCACAGGCGACGCCATCACCGTGACAAAAGGCCCGGGTGTTGCACCTGGCTATGGCAGCGGCGCTGTAGGCGGAGCCGCCGCGATAGAGGCGGAGCTTCGTTCTCTGCAGCTCCAAATGCAGCATCAGGTGGCCACCGCTGGCGGCGACCAGCAATTCTGGGAGGAGGAGGAGCAGGAGGAGCAGGAGGGAGAGGACGGCTGGCAGCATGATGCTGGCAGCCGGGAGGGTGGCCACAGCCCGTCCTTGTCGTTCGACGGCTCTGAGAGTGTCGGCGACGCGGGCTGGCAGCAGATCCGCACACCCCGCAGCGGCGGGCCCAGCTCGGTACCAGCTGGCGCGGCTGGCGCGGCTGGGAGCAACCCGCGCATTGTGGTCACCAACGTCTCGCTCGGCTTAAAGCGGCACACGGCGCAGGCCTTCTTCAAGCAGTGAGTGGCGCGGTGCTGGGTCAGCATACACCCGCTGCATGGCTGCCGCATGCGGGACTGCCGCATCCTGCTGGGCTGCGCCTGCTGTGCTGTGCCGTCCCTGCCGCTGCCGACAAGCAGACCCTGCGCTCCAGCCCCAGTTCATTGCGTCCGCTGGCGTGGCTGCAGGTTTGGGTTCGTGCAGGAGTGCCTCACCTTTGCTGGCAAGCCGTACGCCTTTGTGCATTTTCGGGACGCGAGCGCTGCCGAGGCGGCGGTCCGGGCGCTGCACCGCAGGCTGGTGAGGTGCAGGGCTGGCCTTGGAAGCCGCCGGGTCGAGGACAGCAGGGGGCCGCCAGCGGGAGCGGTGCCATGGGGTTGCCCTGCTCGCCAGGAGTTCTGCTGTATGTTGCAAGCTGGCCACCCGAGCTGCGCCCTCGCCGTGCTTTGCTGCGCAGGTGCCGCCGCTAAACCCCAATGAGCTTGTTTGGGCAGATTTTCGAGCCCCGCGTGAGCCCTACAGCAGGACTGCCACCAAACATGCAGAGCCGCCGCCAGACACAAACCGGCTGCGGTTCAGCGCCACCCCGACCGCCACGCTGTTTGTGGGGCGTCTGGCCCCGTGGGTGAACCACCAAGGCATCGCCAGCATTTTCAGCAAGTGAGCACACCAGCTGCCTTCTTCCTGCCCTGCTGCCGCCGTCCTGCCCTGTCATGCGGCACTCGCCTGCCCTCTGTGCTGCCCGGCTGCGCAGCCCGTCGCTGCCGTCCACCCATTGCCTAGGTGTCCTGTGCTGTGCCGCGCGTTCCCGCAGATACGGCGCGATCTATGACTGCGAGCTTCGGGAGGCAACCAATGACAGGCCAGACAAGGTTGGTGGCGGTGCCTGGTGGCCCTGGGTGCGGCTCGCCTGTTACCGCCTGCCCAGTTGTATGTGTGTGTGTGTGTGGAGTGGGGGTCTGTCACCCATGAGCACGAGCCTGTGTGCAACGCTCGGCCTCCCTCCCTTCCTGTGCAGTATGCTTTTGTCAACTACCGGCGCGTGGAGGATGCGCAGGCGGCGTTCGAAGCCCTGGACGGCAGGGCCATCCCGGCGGCTACGGGCAAGGTGCCCCTGAAGCTTCAGTACCGGCGAGGCTGATGCTGCAAGTGCCATCCAGGCTGGCTGCGGCACACGCTAACAAGCATGAGCAAGAGGCGTAGCCGCTGGCTGCACGCCAAATGTGCCATCGGCTTCTGACGTGGCGCATCAGACAACGCCAGGGACCCCTCTCGTTGCTCGCCTGTCGGTTTGTTACATATTATACCGCGGAGAAGCAATCATGCTCAATGTAAACATTCCCCTCGAATGTCAGTCATACATGTTGGCAAATGATGCAGCAGGGCACGCGAATTTAGCCAATCAACAGAGGCCGACCAAGTCGGGTGATGGCATCGAAAGCGGGTGGGCAGAAGAAGCCCCAGGCAACCCTGCTGCAGCCTAGGGCTGGGCTTGCTCGGGCGGCTGGAAAGCAGGCAGGCTCTGCCAGCTCTGCGCCGTCAGGTCCTGAGCCGTCGCCTGGGGAGCCACGCCCAGGCTCAGCAGCAGACCGCGCCCCCGCTGCTCCGCATCCTCCTCCGGCGCGAGCTCCGCGGCGCTCATGCCCGCCGCCAGGCGCCAGGCGTGGCGCTGCCGCGGGTCGCCCAGCAGGCCGCCCAGCGCCTGCCACGACATGCCCAGCGCCTCGGGGTGCTGCGCCAGAGCCGACGCCACCGCAGGCCAGCCGCCATACACCTGCACAGACGGGCAGGACACAGTGAGCGACACCGCTGCCTCCCTGACGATCAGCGGAGCAGGCTGCAGGTGCGACTACACCGGTGCCTCTCCCCGTGGCCCTCCAGCAGGGCGCCCAGGGCCGGCTGCCTCACCAGCAGCAGCTGCTTGAGACGGTCCGTGGCCCGCTCCGCGCCCACGTCTGTGCGCGTGAAGCTGCCGCCGTCGAGGCCGCCGGCCAGCGCAAACAGCAGCACCTGCTCCCCGCTCATGCCCACGGTGCCCTGCAGCGTGCCAGCGTGGCGCAGCATGGCGCACGTCAGGCAGGCAGGCACGCTCGGTGCTGACACTGCCCTGCCCTGGCCCGAAGAATGCCTGCACCTCAGCTGGCCGGCCACATGCATGCCCGCCTGCCTCCCTCACCTGCAGCGTCTGCACCAGCTGCCCCGTGCGGTCCGCCATGCCGCCGGTGAGCCATGGCTGCGACAGCACCAGCGCCGCCGCCAGGTGGGCCGGCACCCGCCACGCCGCCGCCAGCTCGCCCACCCGCCGCTGCACGGCGGGCAGCTGCCAGGTGGGGTCTGCCAGCAGCCGCACATCCGAGCGCAGCAGCTCGCCCGCCTGCTGCCGGCTGAGGCCCAGCTGCAGCAGCCAGTCCACGCACAGCTGCGCCTGCTGCGCGTCCAGCAGGCACAGGTCTGGCAGCCAGCGCGACAGCGCCGCGTCGGCCAGCGCTGCGTCGCCCCAGCCCAGCTGCCGGCGCAGCCAGGGCGCGGCGTGCTGCTGGAAGGGCGCCGGGTGCTGCGCCAGCAGGCCGCCGGCCAGGTCGGGGTGCAGCTTCATGAAGCGGTACAGGCTGTACGGGTGGTGCAGGCGCTCAAAGTGGCGGCGGCTGACGCGCTGCAGCTGGGCCGCGCCAAACTGCAGAGCGGCCTCGAACGCGGGCGGCAGCAGCGTGAGGGCCGCGCCCTCGGGGCTGGCCTGCAGGCACTTGGCCAGCACCTGCGCTCCGTCGGGCTCCGCGCTGCTGTGGCGCCTGAACAGCTCAAACTTGGGGGCGAGGTCTTGGCGGAAGTCGGCCGTACCGCCCAGCCGCTCGTACTGCAGCGCCAGCAGGGCGGCAGCCACGGCGCTGACGCCCTGCTCCTGCAGGTAGCGCTCCAGGGGCGACCTGGGCAGCGCGTCGATGCCGCCCAGGCTGCCGCCGGCGCCGGTGGCTGCGCTGCGGCCAGGGCCCGTCGCGGCCACCGCTCGCGCGGGCTGGCCGCGCCGCCGCCGGTGCTGCAGAACAGCGTGGCTGCCCGGCTGCGGCGCTGCCAAACGGGTACCATGCTGGACTGAGGGCAAGGGGCGGCAGGGGAGCAGGGTTTGCGTGCCGAGCATTTCAAGTGCGTGTCTGGAGTTTGGTACGGGGCTGTCCTTGCGAGCAAAGCTTGTGACAATAATCCCGGTGATCAAATGCACGACAGCCCTTTGTTTCAGGCTGTTCAAAGGTTTCCTGCCAAGGTGGCGCAGTACAAGTGGCTCGTGCTCCCCGTCAGGGAGTGCTTGATGCCCAGAGGAATGGGCTTCGTTGGACCTCGTTTGGATAGCCTGTGGGCTTGCTCACCCAGCACCGATCGCACACGCTCTACAACATCCCGGTGATCGAGCAGCCCAGGGAGCTCTGGCCTGGGCAGAGGCGGCCACAGGGTCCCATCCAGCGAACCACTGCCCAGTGGCCGCGTGGAGCGGCTTAGACCAACGCGCCTTGCGCTCGTTTCCTGCAAGCCGGCAGCATGGTGAGCTCGTGGCTCGCTGGCAGGGGGAATGGAAGCCGCACGGGGAGAGAGGTGCAGCCCGAGTGGCAGCGGCGGTGGCGGCGGCGGCGGGGCGCTCTCCTGCTCTTCCTGCTTCGCGCCTCTGCTGCAGGGCGGTGGCAGTCGATGCTGACCCGCTCGTCTGCCGCTCCTGCCCTGCAGAACAAGCTGTTTGGCAGCCTGGTGGGCTCTGCCGCCTGCACGGTGCAGCTGGAGCTGCGGCCCAGCGGCGCCGCGGCGGCCACCGCCGGCTCGCAGCCCACTGTCAGCCTGAAGAACAAGCGGGACGAGATGGAGACGATGCCGCTGTTCTGCAGCAAGGACACCATCTCGGGGGAGGTGGGGCGCCTCACCCGCCTGTGCCGTGCGCCTACCAGCCTGCTTCATGCACAGATCCCCCACCCCCACCCCCAAGTGGTTGCTCTGGATGCCTGCCCTCCGCCCTGCCTGCCCCTGCCTGACCCGGCCCCGCCCCGCCCGCTGCGAGCAGGTCAAGGTGACCCCCATCCCGGGCAAGCGAGCCGACCACCAAGGCATACGCGTGCAGCTGCTGGGGGAGGTGGAGCTGGCCTCGGAGCGGGGCCACCCGCACCAGTTCCTGTCCCTGGGTGGGTGCCGCCGCCCCACCTCCCCACCACTGTGGGGCAGGCGCAGCGCGCAGCGGCACCTGGATGCCGGCAGCAGCTGTGGGCCCGGCGCAGGAGCAGCTGCCTGGCAGGCTGGCTGGCTGCTGCTCCCAGCGCGCTTCTGCTGGGGCCGAGGTTTGCGGTGTGTGGTGGTGACGCCATGTTGGTGGCTGGTGCCTGCTGCCTGCAGTGCGTGACCTGGCGCCCCCCGGCGACCTCACCACCCAGGCGTCGCTGCCGTTTGAGTTTGGGAGCGTGGAGATGCAGTACGAATCGTACCGCGGGTCGCAGGTAGCGTGCCGCCCCTGCGCCTCTGTGCTGCGCACGGGGAGAGCGTTGCAGAAGGCAGCTGCTGTGGGCTGCGTGGCACGCCGCCGCATGCTGCCCTTCTGCAGCACACACCAAACGCACGGGCTGCAGCTGCCGAGTCCCCCAGCGGCGGTCGTTGCCCTGGCCCGCCCCGCAGGCGCAAGTGCGGTACCTGCTGCGCGTCACGGTATCCCGCGGTATGGGGCAGAGCGTGGTGAAGGACCATGCGTTCTGGGTGCGCAACCCGCAGCCCACGCCGGCCGCCGGTCCTCCCATCAAGGTGCGACAGCCTCGCCGCGCGGCAGCCTCGCCAGATGCGACAGGCTCGCGGGAGCACCGTGGGCGCCCTGCGCAGCCGGGGCTGCTCCCCCGCGGTGTGGCTGCTGTCGCCGTCGGCCCGCGCGCCTGCTCACCGGGCCGCCGCGCTGCGCCCGCGCCTGCCTGCCTGGCCGGCTCCTGCGCAGATGGAGGTGGGCATCGAGGACTGCCTGCACATCGAGTTTGAGTATGAGCGGGGGGCGTACCACATGCAAGACACGGTGCTCGGGCGCATCCACTTCCTGCTGGTGGGCTGGGGGGGGGGGCCCGGGGTATGGGGTTGGATGCCAGGGTGGAGGGACCAGCGTGCTGCGGCACAGCAGCGGGCACGCGCTGCAGCTTGGTGGCGCTTGGTGCCAATGCGATGGCAGGGCGGCGAGGCAAGCTCCACTCTCTCTCCCCACCCTGCTATAGCTCTAGCTCTCTAGGCCCCAAACTTGTCCTGCTTCTGCGCCCAGCCACTCGTGCCGCATGCCTGCCTGCCACTGTACCACCTGCCTGTACCGTCTGCCAGGTGCGCATCAAGCTGAAGCACATGGAGCTGGAGATACGGCGGCGCGAGACCTCGGGGGCGGGCTCGGCGGCCAAGAGCGAGTCGGGTGCGCGGCTGAGCGTGTGTGTGTTGGGGGGCCGGGTGCAGGCATGTGCGTCCGCCGTGGCCTGCTGCCGCCCTGTCGGGGCGGCGGCGCGGCCTGGGTTGTGTGGGGCTTGGAGCCTGCAGGGGCTTGCCTGGAAGCTGGGAAGCGGTTCGTTGTTCGGGGCAGCCGCGCTCGCCCCACCCAGGCTGGCGGCCCACCTCCAGACCCTGCTCTGCTGTCCCTGCTTGCCCTGCCCCTCCTGCCACAGAGACGGTGGCCAAGTACGAGATCATGGATGGGGCGCCCGTCAGGGGGGAGAGCATCCCCATTCGGTGAGGCGCTGCTCGCTGCCGCCTGCCAGGAGCCGTTCCGACGCCGCCTGCAGGCAGCCGCCGCGCCCGCCCCCCTCCCATCATCTCCTCGCCTCGCGCCCACTCCTCCGCGGCGCACCACTCCGTCACGCTCCCGCCCCCACACACATGCACACACGCGCACACACACACACACACGCCCAACGTGTGCTTCCTTCTTCAAACCCGCACCCTCCCACCCTCCACCCACCTGCCCCGCAGCCTGAGCCTGCGCCCCTACGACCTCTCCCCCTCCTACGCCAACGTCTTCAACAAGTTCTCGGTGCGCTACTTCATCAACCTGGTGCTGGTGGACGAGGAGGACAGGCGCTACTTCAAGCAGCAGGTGCGGCAGGCGGGGCGGCAGTGGTGCATGTGTTGTGGCGCGGCGGTGGTGTAGCATCCTGTGGATGTTGGCGGCGGCGGGTGCGGGCCCAGCCACGCCCAGAGCCGCGCCGCGTGCGCCCGGGCACCCCCGGCTCTGGCCTGCAAGCGGGCAGGCATGCGGGCAGGCAGGCATGCGGGTGGGCGGCAGAAGGCGAGCTGACCAGCCACTCTTGCGTGTCCTGGGCTGCTGCCCCATGCAGGAGATCACGCTGTACCGGCGGGAGGAGGAGGAGGAGGTGCCGCCGCCCGCGGCGCGCCTGCCCCGCCGCATGGTGTCGCTGCCGCCCGCCTCGGGCCCCACCTCGCCCTCGGCGTCCGCAGCGGCGGCCATGGCGCACACCATGGGGCCCGCCAGCTTCCCGGCAGCTGCGCCCGCAAACGGCGGCGCCGCGCCCGCGGCGTCGCCGCTGGACTCGTCGCCGCTGGGCGCGGGGCCGCGGCCAGCGAGCCAGGCTGGCCTGGCGGCAGCAGAGGGCCACCTGATGCCCAGCGGCAGCGGCGGCAACGGCAGCAGCAGCGCAGCGGCGGCGGCGGCGGCGGCGGCGGCGGCAGATGCGGGGGAGGATGCGCCGCTGCTGGCGGGCCAGCAACCGGCGCCGGCCGCCGCCAGCTCGTCGCTGGGAGATGGCAGTGCCGCCTGAGCAAGTCGGCTGCCCCGTCCAGCTGCAGCCTCGTCTTTGTCCTGTTCCCTCGCTCTTTCCACCTTTTGTACCGCTTCTCCCCTACCTGGTGTAACGCCTGTTGCTACACGCCCCGGCCAGCGGCTGCGCACAATGCGGTCTGGTTACACACCAGAGCAAGAGAGAGAGATAGGGAGCATGGGGTGCAGGCTGCACAGTACAGGCGAGGGGGCATACAGAGGAGCAGCATGGGGCCAGAAATGTGCCTGGCCAAAGGTGCTGATGGGTGCTTACTGTACAAGCCAGGGATCAGGAAAAAACGAGATACAGAGGGCAAGCAGGAGGCGAGGGAGGGAGGAGCAGGATGCACAAGCAAGCAAGGGCCGGTCAGGGTATAGCGGCGGCCTGTAAGAGAGGTGACATGACGCGGGCATGGTGCTGGGGCAGGGCGCTACCTATGATGGCACAGGGGGAGCTAGCTAGCTGCCTGTATCGCAATGGTCCTGAGAGCTGCACTATGGGGGTGCCTTCTGTGTTACGACACATGGGTCCTGCTGTCCTACTGCTGCGGGTCCTGGGGCACATGCACAGCTAGTTGGTGCCCTCCAGCACCTACTACTGCGCATGCTGCTGTGGATGGTTGTACTGCTGCTGCTGCTGCTGCGCCGCCGCCGCCTGCTGGTATTCAAGCGGTAGCTGCAGCCCCTGCCGGCGCAGCCGCTCCACATGAAGCATGCGCAGCAGCTGCGCCACCTGCTCCGGGCTGTGCCAGTCTATGTCTACAGAGCACTGTAGCGCCGCCAGCTCGGCCGCGGCGCGCTGCTGCTGCTGCTCAGCCTCGGCCGCCGCCCCATGGTTCGGCGAGTGGCGCGGCGAGCGCTGATCTTGGTCGTGTGCTAATGATGGGTGGAGGCCTTCAGCGGCGGCGGCCTGTGCTGCCTGGTTGGCGGGGCGCAGCGGCTCGCCCAGCGGGTGGCCTGGCGGCAACGCAGCGAGCGAGTGCTTGGCAGCAGCAGCACCAGCTGCCAGCAAGTCCCAGCTCGGTGACGCGGCACGCTGGAGGTTCTGCAACACGATCAGGGGCGCGGTCGCACAGAATCGGGCACAGCAGAGGGCTGCCGGCGGCTGTTGAAAACGTGACGCGGCGGCGTGGTGGCCGCTGGCGGGGCGCACCTCGGGGAGCACTGCCCCGGCCACCACGGCGTGGCGCTTGGCCGCCCTGTCCTCCGTCACCACCTGCAATGCGCAGGGGCTCAGCCGGAGCGGCAGTGAGCACATGAGCGGCTAGTTGAGTGGCGTTGGGGGCGTCGGCTGCTCACCTTCGAGGGTTCATCATCCTCTCGTATCCGTTTCGCCATGACGACGCTGCCTGGGCCTCCACTAGGCACAAGTCAGGGTTACCGAAGCGTCCAGCGGCTCTTGTGGCCAGATACAAGCGTCACGCCGCTTCTGGGACGGGGAGGAGGCCGGCACAACCCGGTGGAATGCCGTTCCGGAGACTCGAGGTGCTCTTCTGCATGGGGTGCAACCTGCTGCGCTGCCGCACAGCGGGCCAGCGTTGACCCACCGCTCGACCTGCATTTCTGTGTGATTGCTGCAGGATTGATCTTGTGAGCCAATCTTGGGCAGTGTAGCGGCAGTTGTGGCAGGTGTCAGCCTCGTGTCACCCAGGCAGGCGTCCACGGGGCGGAGAAGAGCCGATGTTGTTTGTGCGGGCATCCATCCACAGACGCCTAGCACAGCCGCAACCCCACGACTGGTCCGGCCGCCGGCCCATGCGCGATGCATCCCGAGGGGCCAGAAGCCGTGCCCGACCCCCAACCCACATGATCAGCGGGTTGCCGGTGCTGCTGGCAGGTTCACTGGCAGGTTCAATCCACGTTGAACCGGAGGCACCTGATGCAGCCCTGCTGAATAAGCCGTGCACAAGGCGGCGGTGATTGTGGAGATCTTCTCTTTTTCTGTAAGCCGTGGCAGAACTGATTACAGGGCTGCGCCGCCTGCCGCCAGTCGCCCTCCGCCGCCTGCTACCTGAACGGGGTCGTGCATTTGCTCCAGGGATCCTCCCACGATGGCTGCACTTCGAAAGGGCCTCGCCAAGCTATGAACACGGGGAAATGTCGCGGCGTTGGCACGGCAAGGGCGGGACCCAGGAAACAGAGTGTCAAACAACAAGAAAACTGGCTCCCCTCCGCAAACCCTGCGCACTTCACACATCCTGCATCTGTGGGCGCCGCCCAGTGGCCGTTGCCTGGCCCGCAGCGCCTGCACAGAGCAGCACCATGCCACTCTACGAGCTGTTTGCCCTGGCCAAGCCGCAGCTTGGCAAGAAAGCCATCGCCTCCATCATGAAAGCAGTGGCCAGCAAAGTCATGGAGCAGGGAGGCGTTGTGACCGACATCCGCTCCTACGGCGAGCGCAAGCTGGCCTACGACATCAGGCAGCCGGGAGTGCGGCACAAGGAGGTGCGATGGGGCGCAGGGAGCCCCGCCTGCATGGTCAGGGACGTCATGCATAGTCGGCGATCATCCTTGCTCTGTTGCTCCAGCCAGCCCAAACACGCACTCCACCGCCCTGCAGGCCGCCATGTGGCAAATCAACTTCGCCGCCAACCCGGCGACGCTGCCAGAGCTGGACCACACGCTGCGGGTGGACGAGCGGATGCTGCGGTGGCTGGTGCTCAAGCGGCAGCCTTACCGGCGGCTGCCGACGCCCTACAGAGTGGCGCGCATAGCAGAGGATGTGGCAGTGCCCCTGGCGAAGCAGCAGGGGCCAAGAAGCAATAGCCGTAGGTGCGGGTTGCCTGCGCAGGTGCATGCATGCCGCCGCCGCGCCCGCCTGCATTTGCTGCCTGCATTTGCTGCCACCCAGAGGGACCCTGGCAAATGAGGTGAAAAACTTAGTTATCCCTGTCAGACGGCGCCAAAGGCCGGTGCCAGCTGTTGACCATTAGCTCTATCTGATGCCTCGGGCCCCTTTCACTCGTGCTGCCGCTGCACCCTCGCGCCGCCTTGCACCGCCGCTGCCACGGCCACGCTCCTCGCAGTGACGACGACGCAATTTTTCAAACTCAACAGGACTGAGCATACTGTGCTGACACACATCCCCGCTGTCCTGAGCGAAGAGCGCGCCCTCTGCTGCACGCTGCACGCCGCCGGCTGCTTGGCCCTCGTTTCCAGCTTGTCACGGTTGCTTCCATGGCCCCTCGCCTGCAGGTGCAGCCCGCAGACGTCCAGATCCCGCCTGCGCATGCCTGCGCAGGAGCTAGGTGCGCGCTGCGCAGTATCTTTACACTGCTGCTGCTGCTGCTGCTGCTGCACCACTGCTCGCTTCGCTGCTGGTCCGATGATCGATAATTCCAAACTGGGCGTTTCTCAAACAACATTCGCAGTGCCCGATCTAGAGCGTTCGCCTTTCGCCGGGCTTGAGCGCTGCTGCGGCTCACCTTCCTTGGATGTCTGAGGACTGCCTGCTGCCACGCCTGCACCTTCACACGCATGCATTGCTGCCTGCTGCCTGCCCGTGAGCACCGTGGCGGGCTGATGTTGCACCCCCCGGGCTCTCCTTGCATGGGCGCTGTGTGCTGCCTGTGCTGCATCCATCTGCCTTTTGGCTGCCTTTTGGCGTGAGTGAGGATTCCAAATGCACACATGTCGGATTCCTACTGATGCACCCTGACGAGCTGCAACTCCCTGACACGCCCCAGCATGCATGCGCCGCACCATGCGTGCCCTGTGGGGGGCAGCCCAGCGGCACCGACAGCCGTGCTGACCCTGCCGGATGCTGCCTCCCTCGGTGCGCCTTGCAGGAACGCACCCACCATGAGCGCGCCCTGCCCGCTGAGCCCTTCTGGACCAACGCGCCGTTTTCGGCACGGCGCATTAGGTAGCCAGCCCAGTTCAGCACCAGCCCAACCTGGGGCCCACGTGGTTCTGCACCCGCCCCCACCCAACTTGCATCAAGAACTGCTTGCCGCACAAAGCACTGCCCTTGACTTTGTACCTCTGCAACTCTTGTTCTTCTTGTACACCCCCCTTGTTCTCCACAATGCTGCCTACATGTCTGCTCCCCTTGGCTTTCCCAGGCCATCTATCTGCACCTGGGTGTAACAAATCCAGCACAGCTATTGGCCTGGCCGCATTGTTCAGCCTGCATGGCATGATTGCAACATGTGCCAAGCAGTGCTGGGTACGGCACAGACAGTATAGCGGTTGGTTCCACAGAGATGAATCCGCATGACTTGGCGGATTCATCGGTTGGATGCAAGCCTTCTTGGAAATGTCCCCGGCTGGGAAATGTCCCCGGCGTAAGAATGTGCAGCGACTGGGAGGGATGGGGGAAGAAACTGGCGGGATGGGGGAAGGAATGTGCGGCTTCTCAAGACGCATCTGCCAGGGCTCACATGCCCAGCACCATCCTGATGCCCACCACCGCGGTGGCGACCATGAGGCAGAGGTAGGACATCCAGGCCAAGCTGCCACCAGGCGCCCGCTGAGCCGGGTCGCCGGTGCTGTAGCCTGCGGTAGGCAGCAGAGTGGGCTGGCGGACGGGGCGCAACAACGGGCTGGCCGGGCAGTGGCTGCGCCCAGGCTGCGCCACGGACTGGCCGCTGTCCGGCAGGCATCCAGCGTGGCAGCAGCAGGAGCAGGAGCAGCAGCGGGGGCCTCAAAGCAGAGCGGCTCTGGCGGCAGGCGCCCGCACCTCGCGTGTACAGGATGCGGCCGATGGCCCACACCAAGCCCTGCGCCGCCGCGGCCCGCGGGTACACCAGTCCCACCAGCATCTGCATCGCCAGCTGCTGCGGCAGCATCTCCTGCGCCAGGGTGTCATGTGGGGTGCAGGCGGCAGCGGCAAGAGATGAAGCAGGGGCAGCACCTTCAGGTGGCGGGGGCAGAGGCAGGAGGGGCTGCCACCTGCATGCACGCTCAACCAGCAGACAGGCACAGGCCGGGAAGTGGCGCCAGCTGATCATCCCAGGGCGGGCAGCGCAGACGCTCAGGGCATCTCACGATGGAGTTTTGGTGGGCGCGCTGGGTGCAGTTGAACCTGGTGGCAAGCTCGTCGGTGCCGGGGGCGTACAGAGTGGGGTACGCCACGCCACACTCCTTGCGCGCCTTCATCACGCGGGCGGCCTGCCACTGCACCACCGCCGCGGTGAAGGCCACCGACGTCATGACCCAGCTGCACAGCACACAGAGGGGTGGCAGGGGGTCAGCAGCAGGCAGGAGGCAAGGCGGCGGCGGCGGCGGCGCATACGGCCGAGTGTCGGGAGTCGTGCGGACCTCGCCCCGCCAGATGAGGGATCCGACTGACTCACCCATAGTTCGGAGGGAGGGCCACAGCCGCCACACGCAGGCGCACCCTGGATGGTGCCAGAGTGCCGCGCCGCTGCACCTGCAGGCGGAGGCTGGGCAGGCCGGCTGCGCTCATCGTGACTCAAGGTAGCGGGATCGGGAGGGCTGACCTCATCAGACTTCTGCTTTGAGTGCTGTGTGCTGTGCTCGAGCGTAGCACGGGGCTCGAGCATCTGCCTCGAGCACATGCCCGACCCAAAATCCGAAGAGCTGCTCACGTCCCTGCTCCTCGCAACCTGTGGAAGTCGTCGCACGCTGCAGAACTCCCCCACCTCGCCGGTCAGCGCTGCCTCCCACGATACCGCGTCCTACCCCCCGGTGAGCCAACCCGGTGAACAACGACCTCGTAAGACATCTCCAGTGTTGCAGCGCTGCTGGCAGGGAACCTCCAACCTAAGGCTGGAGCCCCGCTGATTGGAGCGGACCCTCCCACGTTGCCCGCAGGTCCTGCTTGCGCCCATGACTCAGAATTTCAGCACGGCCTTGCAGCAGCTGCTGCAGCGAGCAAGGCGGGGAGCGGCAGCCTGCGGCCGGCCCGCCAAGCCGGCAAGCGGCACGCCGACGGGCGCGTCTGTGGGCCAGGCCAAGCGAAGCTACCTGCGTCCTGCCCCCTCCCAGCGTCTGACGCCGCTGGAGCTGGCCCAGGGGTCTGCCCAGTAGCGGCTGGTACCGCAACGCCTGCAGGCGGCAGCCGTCCATGCCATCCATTCGCCATTGGACCTAGGGCGCCAGCAACTTGGGCCGGCAGGCGCCAGCAAACGCACGCCGCCATCGCTGGCCACAAACAGCAGCATGGGCAGCTCTCCTGCCTGCTGGGCAGCCCCCATGTGCTGCACATCGTTTTCAGTCTGCATGAATCCTCTGTATCATTGGTTGATTGAACAATCAGGCGGTACTCGCCCTTGCACCCCCAATCTCTTGCCGCTGCATGATTGCAGCAGCTATACGTTGGCCCCCTTCTCTCTACTGCCTTCCTTCCTGCACAACTGTCCATACTCGTCACAGAATGTGCCTCTTCTCCCCCATTTGTCCCTTTGCCTGCTCCAGTCGTACTGCTTTTCCAGCCTCACGGATCTGTCTCCTCCCGCCTGATTGAAGGACCAACTCCCCAGCCTGCCAACAAACGACCCCTGCTACAGCAATCGCTTGATTTCTACTGCTTTGCTCTTTTTCCGCACTTCATCACTTGTAACTTGCTTACAGCAGCAAGCGCATCTGGGAGGGCGCCGGTAGGCGCAGCTTCAATGGCGGCACGAGCAGGGAGATACCACGTCCGCATGCTGGTGAACACCTGTGCCGCTGGCTGGCACCGCCACCTTCACGTCCCCGCCACGCCGGCAAACACGACCGCCAGCACCGCCGCCACGAGCGCCACCAGGCGCAGCGGCAGCGGGTCGGCGGGCGCGCCGGGCGGCCGCGGCGGCCACGTCGCCGACGGCGGGTACGCGCCCTCGCGCCAGTGCCACACCAGGGCAGTCAGCACCACCGCCAGCAGCATGTCGACAGAGTAGTGGGTCTTGTCCACTGTCTCCTGCAGGTGGGCAGAGGGAAGGGGAGGAGGAGGAGCAGCAGAGTGGCGAAAGCAGTGAGCAGGGGAGGGCACGTTGGTGGTGACCAAGCAGGCACGCAGGCAGGCGGGGGCGGGTGGGCAGGAAGGCAGGCACAGTGGCAGCAGAGGTGCGGCGACCAGCAGAGCGCGGCGCCGGGCCCCAGCCCAGCACCTGCGGCATGCTCCCCGACCGCCAGCGGCCCCCGCACTCGCCACCCCACCTGCACGCACAGCTTGGCCACAGCCAACCAGCCCAGCAGCGCCGGGCCGCCGCGCCAGGCGGGCAGCGGGTAGTATGTGCCCAGTGCCAGCGGTACCGCCGCATACACCACGCCGTGCCCCGAAACCACCAGGTCGTTGCACCCGCTGCCGCGCTTGGCGCTGAAGCCGATGCGCACAAACTGCCACCAGTCTGCGGGGCAGGGCCGGGCCGGGGCAGGGAACGGCGCGGAGTGGGCAGGGGCCGCACTGGGCAGCGGCATGAGTAGCAGCAGGCGCCGGTGTGCGGGGTCGAGCCAGACCACACCAGCAGCGGCAGCAGCAGCGCGGCGGCTGCGCAGCACCCTGCGCGGCTGGCCTCCCACCCGATGGCACCGGCGGGAAGTTCCTTGCGTAGCAGAAGCGCTTTGGGTTGGGCAGGACGGTTGTCATGAAGGCCAGCGTACTGAGGGCACAAGAGCAGGGAGGAGGCCAGGGGCAGGTGGCGCTGGGCGGTGCGCAGGGACGGTGGGAGGGAAGCTGAGAAGAGCTGGCAGGTGGCGCCACGGCTGCCCCTGCCTCGGGCTGGCAGGCGGGCGGGCAGGCAGGCCAGACGCACCGGATGAGGTGAGTCCATGCGACGGTCTCCATGAAACGGGTGGCGATGCCGAATCCGGAGTAGGGTATCTGTACCGCCAAACAATGGGGCCATGTGGACGGTACAGGACAGGGGAGCCCCGGCCCCGCAGCGCCGAGGGGCCCTGCTGCCCCAACTTTCCTCAATCCACCTGCCCCCCGCCTGGCCCACATGCCTCGCTGCGTGACGCACCTGGTCCCAGGCAGCCGACAGGCAGAGGGAGAGGAAGGCGTGCAGCAGGAAGTGCATGTCGACTCGCCAGCCCAGCGCCAGCCGCCGCGCGGCAGGGTAGCGCTGCGGGCGCGACGCGCGTGGCGCGGCGCAGGACGGACAGCGCGCGAGGAGAAGGTGGGCAGGCATGGAGGCAGCCGCCAGCCGGCGTACAGCACGTGGCCCGCCCCGCACACACCCGCCTGCCCCGCCTGCGCCCTGCCCACCTGGAACAGCCAGAGCAGCGCGATCTCCGCGTTGTCCTGCAGCGGCGTGTAGGCGTGCTTGCGGGCGTCGCTGGCGCTGGTGGCCCAGGTGCAGAAGTTCTCCAGGGTCACCACCGCCAGCAGGCACAGCACGGAGCGTGCAAAGCGGGGCGCGTGCCGCAGCTCGTCCGACCAGCGAGGGAAGGCGAGCAGCTGGTAGAGCAGTATGGCGACGCCTGTGGGGCAGGCGAGAGGTGCGCGGTGGCAGCATGCACTGACCATGCATCGTGCAGGCACGCAACTGCGGCAGCACAGAAGGGAAGCAAGCCGTGCGTTGACCGCCCCGCCTCCCCTGCTCACCCGCCGCGATGGCAGCATTGAGCCACAATGAGCCCAGGTGCTTGTGCAGGCCCAGCTGCGGCGCCACCAGCAGGATGTAGTGGCACAGCAGGCCTAGCCCGCTCCGAAGCCGGCCAGCGGTAGGCAGGATGGCAATCGGCGGCGCCTGCGGTGCCTGCACAGGCCCGCCTTCCATCGGCGCTGCCCTGCACAGATGTGAAGAGCACAAGGTGTGTGTTTGTGGTTGTGTGCGGCACGGCCTGCGCCACCCGCGATCCCAGGCCCCCCAACTCAGACCCAGCTCTTGCCTGGATTCGTCTGTCCCCCCCATCATTGCAGGAATGCAGCAGAGGGCGCCGATTGCATCAATCGAAGTAATGCAGGGGGATGCGACGGTCCCCCCTAAAGCACCTCCCCGGCCAGCCTGGCGCCGCCACCCAACGGCGCTAATGTATCTCCACCCACACCGTGGCCATTTGCAAAGAATAGTGGTGATCAGCACTCAATTATCATTGTTCAATGAAATGCAAGCAGCTTCAGTCATCAAGGGCTGGCCGATCAGCTGCCGCGCTGCCGCCACACAGCCCGTTCAGATGGCCGCAGCAGGAGCAGCAGCGCCTGCACGGCGCTCACATCCCACTGCTCCACGTGACGCACAATCTGCGAGAAGAGGGGGGAAGACAAGCACCATCACATAAATTCATTAAATCAGCGCGGCTGCACATGCAAGCACTTCCGCCTGCCCTGCCGTTGCCGCCCACCTGGTTCCCATCGGCATTCAGTGTGTACGTGGTTGTGCCGTTGATGTCGACGTACGGCGCCCACGGCAGCCGCACCCAGCAGCTCAGCCGCCACTCTGCAAACAGCTGCGCGCTGCCGCCTGGCGCGGGCGCCGGCAGGCGCCGCAGCGAGCGCAGCTGGATGGCCGGCTCCCACAAGAAGGGCACCAGCAGGGCGAGGTTGCGCTTGTACAAATCCCGCCCTGCAGTGCATGGCGGAGAGGCGGGTGCGCAGCAAGCCAGCGGTGTGCCTGGTCAAGCCTTGGCACTTGCTGTGGACTGCCACCAGCGGCAACCCGAGGTGCACGTATGCCGTGCAGCCGTGCTTGCCGGCGGCAGCCAAGGCAGCGTCATCCCGGAGGCCGCACAAAGCGTTGTGCACCTCTGAAGCTGACGGTTGGGTCGGCAAAGTAGCAGCCTGGGTCGTAGATGGCATCGGTGACGAGCGCCGTCACAAAGTACTGCCTGGCATAGTCGCGTCGCAGCTCCCGCAGCACGCCCGCCACGTCGCCCCGCCGCAGCGTCTTGCTTGGCGGGGACGAGGAGGCCGCTTCATACTCAAGGGCCCTGAAGTTGCAGCGCAGAGGAGCCGGGGAGAGGGATGTCGGCAGGAGCCGGGGCAAGGCAAAACTATGGCATGCCTCCAAGCCAGAGCTGGGCGAGCGGGGCGGGGAGCGGCGGGAGGAGCGCACCCCACGCCAGCCCTCCTCAGAATCTCAGTTGTGGCACGGACCGCCAAACTGACCAAATCTGCATTGAACAGAGCGGGAGGCTGTGTGCCGAGGGAGCCGCTGACGGGGCTGCGAAGGCTGAGCACTCACCGCTGCGTTCTCGCTCCGCTGCTCTGCACATGATTGCTGTGCGATCCCCTGGGACACGCCCTGGGTGGCTGGTGTTTGGTGGCTGATGGGCGACCGCCATGTGCCGCACATTGTGTGTGTCGCTGTAGCAGCTCCATAATTGAGCACAAACCCGTCTCCAGGATGATCCCGATTGCACACAATAACCCAGCAAATCCAGCAGCCTGTCAAACAGGTGGCTGCCGCGCTGCGCGGTTTCGCTCATGCAACCCCTAGCAACCTGCTTGCACCGCCTGAGACTCCTCTGAGATGTGTCATTGGTGTGATCTGCATTGATTGTGGCTTGAGGGAGGGCTATGAGGGACGTCGACCGCCGGCAGCCAGCGCTCTGCACAGGCGTCTCCAGCGGTCGGGTCAGCAATGTGGCAATTGGAGCCCGCCATGCTCCACTGGCTCTACCATCAACGTGACCCTCACGCAGGCCGAAGCTTTTGAACGAGAGGTCGTGACTTGGCGTTGAACGCCAGGCGCCAGATGCCACATGGAGCGAGAGGCCTTGCAGCAGTTCTGAGACCGCCACGAGGCAATCTACACGCCTTGTGAGGGTGCAAACCCGAAGACTAAGGTGTGTGGAGCGTCTCTGCTCCCTGCCAGGTTGTCCCCCTGGCGCCTTATTTTTGTGGAACTCTTGCCGCTCCCTGGCCCGATCACGTTGTTGGACTCAGTATGGCGTGTGGACGCGCCCTCCTGGCGCTATCCTGCGTGTTGCTGCTTGCCTCAGGTGGGAACTGGCTGTGGACTGCACCTTCCGGCCTGTTTGGTGCTCTGACAGGGTGTTCGTGGCAGCTCGGTTCGCCGGGGCAAGGAGGCAAGCAGCCGGCTGAGCCGCGGGCACCTCCATGGCAGCCGGCAGTGCGGGTTGGCGGCCTGCAGCCACCACATCGGGTCAGGCCGCGCACCGACCCCAGAGGCGGCTCAGCTGGTGCCGACCCGACGTTCTGGCCCTGATGCCGACACTCCCCGCGCCCAGCCTGGGGGCGGCCGGGTTTCACCGCCTCGCTGCTGCCGGGGCTGCACAAAGAGCCCAGCCGGCCAGCACGCCAGTTGGCTGCCAGTACGGTCCTGCAGTCCATGTCGGGCGGCAGCGGCGGGCATGACGGCGCGGAATTGCTTGCGTCTCACCCCTGCTTGCTTGCCTGCCTGGCCCTGGCTGCTGCAGCACAGCAAGTGGCGGGCGCAAAGTTTGGACCCAATGTCTACGAGTGCCTCAGTGAGTTGGGAGGGAGCCCCACTCCCGCCCTGTTGCGCCGCTGCCTCACCTTGCGCGGCGGCGCCTGCCCCGGCTGCCTTCAATCCGCCTCTGAATGTGTGCCTGCGCCTGCGCTGCAGCAAAGCTGGGACTGACCAAGTTCCAACAAATCATTGATGTGAGTCCAGCCAGCAGGCAGCCTGTCGCGGGTAGATGGGCGGCCTGCCGTCGCGCGCAGCCTCTCTCAGCGTCCGCCACGCCCTGATCTGCTGCGCGCGCCGCTGGTCCTGCAGGCTGCGGGCATGAAGCCCTTCTTTTCCACGACGTATCAGAGCAACACCCTGTTTGCTGCCACCAGTGAGTGCTTCGAGCAGCTCCCGGCTTACGCCCGGCTGGCTGCACATCCCAACGACGGTGCTGTGCCTGTGGTGTGCGCTCCCCGGGCCCACCACCTCCCCGCCTGCCACGCCGCGCACGGCTGGCAGCCGCACTGCTTGCCGGCGGGGCTGGAGGCGCGCACCGTGCGCAGCCGGCTGAGGCTGCGGCCCCACACACGCATGCACCCGCATGCTTCCTTCCACTTGCGCAGCCTCTGACGCTGCCCCCGTTGTGCTGCTCTGCCTGCCCTGCCCCCCCTCGCAGATGCCGCCGTGGACAGGTTTTACGCCGCGCTGCAGATGACAGAGGCTGAGGCTCTGGCAGACAGAGCGCTGATGAAAAAGGTGGGCGGCAGCCCAGCCTCGGCGGGACAGGACGCGGTGGCGGCGGATATGAGCAGCAGCTGGTGCCTGCGGCTGCTTTCCACTCCCGCATGCCGCACTCGAAGGGATGGCATGTTTTCCAGGGGCAAGGTCCAGGCGGGCAGCGATTGCGCTGGTATGGGTGCGCCGCGTGCCGGCTCCCATCCCGCTGCGGCCTGCCACCCAGCCTTTCCTGTACCGCCTTATCGTGCCGCAGGTGCTGCAGTACAACACGGCCCCGTACGTGCGGCGCACAAGCTACTGGCCTACCTACCAGAATGGGTTCAAGAAGCAGAAGACTCTGATTCCGGCCATGATGCTCAAGGTGCGGCTGCCTGGCTGCCTGGCTGCCGCCTGTCATAGTGGTCCCGTTCTTGGCGGTACGGGCGTACCGCTGGGCTGGTTGCCGCCCGCGCGGCCGATTCTGCCCGGCGCGGCGGCGCCTGCTCGCTTCGCTGCTGCGTGCGAGCCCCGCGTGCACACCGAGCGCATGCTGTGCTGCGCATGCCACGCCTTCCTCCCCTGGCCCAGAGGCCTATTCTGGAATCATGCTGTGCTGCGCCCCCGCCCTGCAGCTGTGGTCCACCAGGACAGAGCGCAAGGCTGTCCAAGGCTTTGCCCAGACGGCGGCGCTGGTGAGGGGACCACGCCGCCAGCAAGCACCAGCCCGCCGCTGCGCCCCTGCTGCCCTGCTTGCCCTGTGAGACGCCCCACGCCACCCCTCCCTCATGCCCTGGCGGCCTGCCGTTGTTCTGTGCTGTTCCCCTGGTCGTGTCGCAGATTGGCAAGCCCAACACGTACGACCTCACCTGCGCCAAGAGCGTGGTGCACGTCACAAACACGGTGAGCATGGGCTGGCTGGGGAGGGCTGCGCATGGAGGAGGGCTGCTGTGCCGGAGGAATCCACTCTCCTGGTGGTGCGCACGCCGCGCCAGCTCGCCTATGCCCCGCTCCTGCGCTCACATGCTGCGCCCGCTGCCTGTGCCGCGCCATGCTGCGCAGGTGCTGGTCCCCATTGTGATGGGATCGTGAGCGGTACAGTGCAGTACTGCCGTGAAACAAACGGTCTCAGGGCGGCTTGCCCCAACCCTGGAGTCGCGCCATAGCGCACGTCACGTCCTTGGACGCTCGTCTGTGCCGGCAGCGTACACCCGGCACCTTGCGCTCTGCACACCTCCCCCTGCATTTGCTTCCGCCTCTCGATTTTGCTCTTACATTGACTAGCCTCCAGCCAAGCTCCGGTTGCGTTACCTGTAACACTTATCACCTCTGCCCAGGGATCCAAGCGCACTGCAGCAGGGCACGCAGCGCGGCACGGCTGGCGCCAGGGCCGCCAATCGCGCTCAGCGTCGCACCTCCTCGAGCACCCGTCATCCCGAGCCCTCGCTGCCGCCGCCGCTGCCGCTGTCGCTGCCGCTGCCGCTGTCGCTGCCGCTGCCGCTGCCGCTGCCCTCACTCTCCAGGTCTGCTGTGGGCACCAGCGCCGCCAGCACCTGCAGCGGGTGCGCCGGGTCCGCCTGCTCCTCATCCAGTGGCACCAGCGTCAGCCCGCCGTGCGCTACGGCCACCGCATCTGCCGCCTGCGCCGCTGCGCCATCCTGGCCGCCGCCGCTGCCGCCGCCGCTGTTGATGCACACCCCGCGCTGCAGCAGCAGCTCGTCGACCTGCATGGGGCGCCAGCAAAGGCAGCGGCGGCAGCGGAAGGCATTCTCATGACGGCAGGGCGAGGGCCAGGGCGCAGCTTGGGCAGGCAGGCAGGTGAGCGGGCCGCAGCGGGCCACAGCTGCGATCGCCAGGGGAGAAGGAGCAGGGAAGCCGCCGCTTACCGGCAGGACATCCCCCGGCCACAGCGGCGGCGCCTCCACCCGCACAAACGGCACGGGACGCAGCGCCCGCTGCTCATGCCGAGTGTGCGCGTCAGCTGCCTCCTCCAGCGCCAGCTCCGCCAGCCCAGCTGCCGCGCCCTCTGCGCTGCCGCCGCTGTCGCGGCAGCCGCAGGCGGTGCAGCTGGGAGTGGTGAGCGCATCCAGCGCCGCTGCCAGCTTGCCCTGCGCCACATCCCCTGCCGTGGCACGCACCACATTCTGCGGGCGCTGCGCCCACCAGTTGACCAGGAACGTGACCCGGCGCCGCCTCTGCTGCTGCTGCTCAGGGTCGCCGGCTGCCGCTCCTGCCGGCGGCCGCGGCGGCGCCATGCTTTCCAGCACGCCGTGCGCCTGCTCCCCGCCAAACAGGCAGTACTGGTTGCGCACCGGGAAGACCAGGCTGCTCCAGGCGGGGTTGTCTGGGAGCGCACAGCGCTGCTCCTGGCTGTACCGCTGGTCAATGAGCACCGTGGGCGCCTGCAGCAGTCCAGGAAGCGAGGGGAGAGCCCAGGGCGTATGGCATGCAGCACCGTGGCCCAGGGCTGCCAGCCCTGGCAGCAGCAGCTGATGCTTGCACCAGCAGTAGCTGATGCTTGCACCAGCAGCAGCAGCAGCAGCGGGTCAAGTGGCAGCTTCAGCGGGCGGCAGAGGCAGCAGCAGCAGAACGGCCCAAGCTCCTCACACCTGGCGCACTGCGTCCCCCGAGCTGCCGGTGAGGTAGAGCACAGAGGAGAGGATGGGGTTGATCATGCGCCCCTCTGCCGCCATTACGTGCTCATCCTTGTCAAAGTGGAAGCCCAGGCCGCGGCCGCCCTCATACACCTGCGGCCAGGCCGGCAGGGCAAAGCGGCGCATTGTGCAGGAAAGAAAGCTTGGGGCGGGCACGGGAGCGGCTCTGCATGGGCTGGCGAGGGAGCGCGCCTCTGTAAAAGAGGCTTCTGAGACTGACCCAGCCCAGGGTGGCTGCCTGCACCTTCTCCTGCTGGTTGCACACGCTCACCTGACACCAGTACTCTGCGCCTTGCCAGGCGCCGTCGTGCGGCGCCAGCTGCGCCTGCACCAGCCGCCTGTACAGCTGCTGCACCGCCTGCTCCGCCACGCACAGCGCCGGCGCGGCACCCTCCGCCACCTCGCGCGGCACCCAGTAGTTGGGGCAGTCGGCCAGTGCATCGGCGTCGGCCTGCAGAGGAGTGCCAGGCGGCGGCGGCGGCGGCAAGGTGGGCGGCGGCGGCAAGGTGTGCGGCGGAGCCGCCAGCTGCCAGCGGTCCTGCTGCTGCCTTGACGTGGGTAACCACATCCTGGCGGTGCGATGCATGCATGCATTGGAAGGGCATGCAGCTGCGGTTGTCAGGCTCTGACATGCGCAAGAGATGACCATCACCTCGAGAGCCTCCAGGTGCGCTACAGGCAGGATCCCTGCCACCACCGTAGCCTCCTGCATTGTTTCAATGGCAAATGGGCGCCCATCAACCGGCTACACTCCGTCCCCCCTGGCAGCCACGGCATCGCAAAACAAACCGCATCGCTCAGCCTCTCCTTCATCTTCGATTGCATCCTTCCCATCGAAAAGTCCATCGCGGGAGGTAGCAATGAGCGTTCCACTCGCATGGGAGGCCGCCAAGGTGTTTGGGGCCGCACGACACTGCGCTGGTGGTCTGATCGCGATCCTCGATGGCTGCACAGTCTCAAGGCTGAGCCCAGAAGCCCCCCTGTTCCGCCTTGCGCTGGTCACCACATGCTCACGCGCTGCTCGCCTTGAAACGGCGCCCCGCCCCTGGCCAGCACTGGGAGAGGCTGTCCAGGCCGGATGCAGCCGGTCCAACCCGGGTGGCAGGGCGGCCGCTGCTGCCACCGCCTGCACCGCCGCCGCGCCACTCCACCGCCGCCGCTCCACGCTTACCTGGCCACCCTCCTGCTGCTGCAGGCGGAGCTGGCCCAGGTCCGGGGCTTCCAGCGGGTGCAGCGCCTGGCCGTCTACGCCCGCATCTTTGCAGCCGAGATCTTCGGCACTGTGCTGGCGGTGCCCTTTGGCCTGCGTGCTCTCAGCCTCCACCGTTCCCTGCCCGACGCGCGGCAGCGCCAGCGAGCGGGCAGCACAGTGGCCATCCTGCGGGACGTGAGGTGCGGGCCGCGCGCGTCGCCCGTGTGTGCTGCACCTGCCTGCGCACGTGCTGCATCCCACGACGGCGAGCCGGGCTGTGAAGCCAGGCTGGTGTGTGCTTGGTGTGGGCGCTCGAGCTGCTACGAGCGTCTGCAGTCGAGCACATGGGCAGTGTGTGACATGTCGTAATGTTTGTGTACCGCTGTACCGCCCCTGGCTGCTGCAGGTACGGCCAGCGCCCCCGCAACGTCATGGACATCTACCTGCCTCCCAACGTGGAGTTCAGCGGCAGCCTGCAGCAGGAGCAGGCGCAGCAGCCGGGCCAGAACGGCAGCCCCTGCAGGAGCGGCAGCACAGGTAGCAACGGCGCCGCCGCCGGGAACGGCGAGGGGCCCGAGGCAGCCTGCGCTGCGGAGGGCGCCCCCATGGTGCTGTTCTGCCACGGCGGCGTGTGGGCTGCGGGATCCAAGTGGCACTATGCCCCGCTGGCCACGCGGCTGGCGCAAGCTGGCGTCATCACCGCGGTCATGCAGGCAGGTGGCCCGCCTGCCTCCCCTGCCCTGCCTGGCTGCGTTCTGGCCGGGCGCAGGTGTGTTGTGGGTGGCAGAGAAAGGGCTGCCTGGAGCTAAGAGCCCCGTCCCTTCCAACCTGCCGCTCCTGCAGTACACTCTGTATCCCGAGGCGCGTGTACCGCAGATGGTGGCCGAGGTACGGTCAGACTCCTGGTGTGCCCTGCTCAGAGACCTGCTGCGATTGCTCGCCCCTCTGTGTCCCCAAATCTGTCAACGCCGCCCTGCCGGGGCTCCCGGGCTGCGCTCTTGCAGGTCAGCGGAGCGCTGACGTGGAGCCTGGACAATGCGGCGCAGCTGGGGGGCAGCCCACAGCAGGTGGGGGCGCCCTGCTGCTGCCCCGCCAGCTGCGTCTGCTGGTACAAGGGCTGCAGCTGCTGGTTCCGCCCTCAGCTGCCGACTTGAACTGCTCTGCCTGCCTGCCCGGTCGCAGGTGTCACTGGTGGGACACTCCGCCGGAGCCCACATGTGTACCATGGCACTGTTGCACCGCGCCCTGGCCGCCAGCAAGGCCGCAGGCGGCTCGCCCCCGCCCCGGCCGCCGCCTGCGGCGCAGCCCGGGCAGCAGCCGCTGCCGCAGCCGCCACCAGACGCGGAGGCGGGCGGCGAGGCGGCAGCCTACGCCGACCACCGCATGCCGCAGCGCCTGGTGGCCATTGCTGGCGTCTACGACATTGCCAGTGAGTGTGGCGCAGCTGCGCTGCGGGGACAGACGCTTGACCCCGAAACAGCACCCCCTGTTTGACCGACAAAGCGCTGGCCAAAAGCCTCCGAGCCGACAGCTCTTTTAGTGCCGCCTGTTTCCTGACACCTGCCGCTGGCACTCTTTCCGCATGCAGAGCATTATGAGTATGAAGAGGGTGAGTTGGCTGGGTTGGTGCGCAGGTGCCGTGCCTGCATTCATTCCGGGCATGCTGCCAGTGTGGTTTGGTTGGCCCCGGAGGCTGTCCTCTGGCAGGCACACCCGGTGGTGCCCCACCTGCGTCCCTCCACACCACCCCAGCATGGCCACTGCACACGCCACAGCATCAGCACACACCACAGCCACAGCACACACCACAGCATGCTGCAGCGCACGCACCCGCCGGCCTGCCTCCCCCTCCGCCCGCAGCCCGCCACGTGCACAAGCTGTCTACCATGGAGCGAGCCGTGGGAGGGCCCCACCTGTTCCCGCGCAACTCCCCCGCCGTCATCCTGGCCAACGCGCTGAGGTGGGCGGGCGGCGACTGCGGGCGCCTGATACTTGGAAGCCTGTAGGCGGGAGGGGAGGGGCCGTGCAGCGTGCAGGCAAAGAAATAGAGTGCGGCGCCGCGCATTGGGTTGCATGATGGATGGGAGAGCTGGCGCCGCCTGGGCGTGCTGTGGCCCAGCCCAAGCCCCTTTCAAGAAACCAAGGAACCCTCGCTGGCACCGCCTCCCCGCTGCATTGCCGCAGGCGGCAGCAGCAGCTGCAGCAGCAGCACAGCAGCTGGGAGGCGTTGCAGGGCGACCCTCGGGAGCTGCTGGAGGAGGCGGGGGTGGCAGCCAGCAGCGGCGACCGGTGGGGCGCCACCCCCGCCATCACGGCGGCTGCGGCGGCGGCGGCTGTGGGGGCACAGGGTGCAGGGCCGGCGGCGGCGGCGGCGGCGGCGGTGGGACCCAGCGGGCCCACATGCACGCTTGTGTTGCCGGCCGCTGACCAGCGGCAGCGGGAGGAGGAGCAGGAGCGGCGGCGGGAGCGGCAACCGGGCCCAGGCGGCGCAACGAGCAGCCAGGTGGCTACAGCCAGCGTGGCTGCCGCTCGCTACTACAGCTCCTTTGAGCTAGCCGGTGAAGCCATCGCCCGCCGCATCGGCTTTGATCGCGTGGCACGGGCCGAGGCGGCCGCTGCGGCGGCGGCCGCTGACAGCAGGGGCCCCGGTGGCAGCGCCATGCCCCGGCCGGCGGCGCCCGCGGCGGCAGTCCCCGTGGCCGTGCCGCCGCGCGAGGGCGACGCCGACGCCGGCGGCGGCGGTGTGGAGGAGGAAGGCATCATGGCGCTGACGGTGGGGGCTGCCCGCCTGCTGCCCCCCACCGTGCTTACCAGCAGCTGCACCGACGTGACGGTGCCGTGGTACGAGAGCGCGGAGCAGTTTTGGCTGCTGCACGACTGCGGCGTGCCGGCCAAGCACCTCGTGTACAACAAGGTGCGGCGAGCCGGCGCTGGGCTGGAGCAGGGGCGGCGGTCCTGCGACGTGCCGTCGGGGGCTGCCCCTGCGATTTGTGGCTGCGTCGTGGTTGTTTTGGAGTCATGTGGAGTCGCATCACGGGGCCGTGCTCTCCACGTCCTCCCTGCGCCAGGTGTCGCACGGCGACTTTGTGACGGGCTGGGCGGCGCTGCCGCGCATCTCGGGGCAGCCCGCAACGGACGAGGGCGACCTGCCGCCCCACGCCGCAGACCTTGTCAAAATTGTGAGCAGCCGGGCGGCGGTCAGGTATAGCTGAGCAGCGGGCTGGGTGGAGGCAGGCAGGCGGCGGGCCTAGCCAAAGCCGGGCCAGCAGCTAGCGGAGAGTCCCATTCACAGCAGCTGGGCGGGGTGTTTTGTGCGGATTTATCCCTCCTGTTGTATATTGCAATGTAAATTATTCGTAAAGGATCAAGTGGGGCGGGGAGGCGGGGCGGGGCGGTACAATGCGTCGCCTTGCCGAGGACCGCCCATGGTGGGTTGCGGCGGAGGCAACAGAGCCATGAGACAGGTTAATACTCGCTGCTCACTTGCTGCATCTCCCCACAGCAGGGCTACCCCACATCCCACATGCGGCGGGTGGCCGCGGCGCCGCCGCTGGGCGCGCTGGCCCAGGCATTCCGTGTTCAAGATTCCATTTGCCCCCGGCCAGCCCTGTATTTGCAAATGTTGCCTCTCTCCCGGTCCGTGAAGCCCCTCCCACCCGCGTTTCGGTTCCATCCCGAGTAGAGGCAGCGGCGGTTCGGCCTAGGCGCCTACCCAGCCGGCGGGGCATCCCGGGAATAATTTTGCGTTGGAAAGCAAGGTGGGCGGCAAGCAAACACAGCAGACAGCGTTTGTCGCGGCCTTCCATCGCCCCCGTCCTCGCCTCCGTAGCCCCTCTGGCGGCCGGGCTCCGCTGGCAGGGTGGACCCTTAGCCCTCGTTACAGGGTGCACCATCCTCGCTACAGGGCGCTGAGCGGCAGGCCAGGAGCGGGAGATGAAGTTCGCCAGAACGCTGGAGGAGGATCAGCAGCCGGAGCTGTATGCCCTGTACAAACAGGTGAGCAGCAGGGCGGCGCCCGCCGCCAGCGGAGCGTGCCGCCCGGCCGAGCACCGTTTGCTGCCTGCTGCTCCCCGGGCCCGCCCGCCCCCGGCCGCTGCGCCGCCGCCGGGTCGTCTGGTTCTGCTTCCGCCGCCGCGCCACTGCCGAGGCCCCCGCTCTGCCAGCACACACGCCTGCTGCCTGCTACGGCCCGTTCCTGCCAGACTTGCTACCTGCCTGCCGCCCCTCGCCACCCATCTGGCTGCAGCTGAAGAAGTCGCTGCGAATCCTGGACAATCCCGCTGATGCGGGCAGCACAGTGGAGCCGCCGCAGCTGCCCTCCTCCTCATCCGACGACGAGATGGCGGGGGACGGCGGCTGGGACGCCGCCGCGGAGCCGCCGCCCGCCGCCGCCGCCGCCGCCGGCGAGGCAGCCCAGGCGCAGGCGCAGCCGGCGGCGGCGCAGGCAGGCGAGCAGCACGGCGGCCAGCAGCCGGGGCAGCAGCCGGGTGCGGGGCAGCAGCAGCAGCAGCAGGAGGAGGAGGGGGAGCGTGAGCCGGGGGTGGAGCGGCCTGACCCCGAGCAGGAGGCGCGCTTTGTGGCGCTGGTGGAGCAGTGCGTGCAGCAGCTGAACGAGGACTACCTGAGCAAGGAGGAGCTGCTGATCATCAAGGCTGACCTGGCGCAGTCGGCGGCCGCCGCCGCCGCCAGGTGCGCCGCCGCGCACAGCCAGGCGCCCGGCGTTGTTCGCCGCCGCCGCGCCGGCTGCCTGCGCTGGCTGCGCTGGCTGGCTGGCTGCCTGCGCTGCCCGTATGCTGCCCCTTGGCGCACACAAACACACACACACACAGACTAGCTGTATGCACAACGCGGCTTGTGGAGGAGGAGGATGCACGCTCCGCCGCCCCTCCCCGCCTGCGGTGCAGCCGAGAGGAGCTGCTGGCTGCCTACGGCTCCGTGGTCAACGTGCACGGCGAGCTGGTGCTGCTGTGCCACTGGTCCATGATGGCCTACACAGGCATCGTCAAGGTGGGCGCCAGGGTGGCGCCAGGGTGGCGGCGGGGTGGGTGGGGTGTGGGGTGAAGTGTGTGGGGTGGGGGTTGGAGGTAGTGGTGGGGTGGTGGTGGTG